AACAAGGATGTGACAGACCTATACATATCTTTACATTATAACGTATACTAACGATGCATAATTGCAATTTGCAATGGAGAAAGTTCGCCTGTGCAAAGTTATTAAGATATTATACAAATTGTAGCCATTGCGAAAGTTTAGATTCAATTAACTACTGACTATTTATAGCTGAAAGTTCAAAATTTTATTCATCCGACCTCATGGAATGTTGTTTGAGTCAGAAAAATATGTGAAATATTACGACTCGCATATTCATGGCCATTAATAATAAGCTCACCAGGAGACGGAATTTGTACTCGCAAGTCTGAGTCGAGACCGTGATAGATTCGATAACCGCAGTTACGGAGTATTAATGGTTAGCATATCTAATAGGTTAGATTGAACTGTAACTGTGACGATTTAAAAGAAATTTGCACCTTTACCAAGTAGCTAAATTGAACAAAATTAAATGAAAGGAACCTCGCGACCTCATCAGCGTTCAAAATGAATATCGAATAGTGAATATAATCGTATTCCTCACACGTTGCAATGTTTGCATTCTCGCCGAAACGCCTTACGACATAATGCAGAGTACTTAATAAAATTTAATAAAAGTATGGCATTAAACGATGAATTTAAAAGGCAACTTTTTTCCAATGCAGTCTTCGTTTTAGGGTAGATTTCCAATTTTCCACCTGCAGAGAAATACTTCGCTAGCGAAATATTTTCTTTTGAATTGAGAACAGTCATGTTGAACTAATTTATTTATGCTGTTAAAATTCTAAAGAAAATATGGAAATCTTTTTCTGGCGAACAATTTCTCTACAAGATCATGATCAATGACCTTATCGAATAAACTTAAGTAATCGCAGACGAAATTTGAAAACAAATTCATATATCTCAAAGCAGTTCGCATTATAAGGAATTTTTAATATTGCACACATTGTAGTATATAGTAGCTATAGAGAAACAGTATAGTGTGGAGAAATAGCTAACACAGATAGCTACATGGGTAAATTGCATACAATTTCGTTTACACTTTGCAACAATATTTTAAACGTCAATTTCCTTGACGGGGGAAATATCTTTCAACTTTCCTTAGCCCGCCCTTGCTGAATGTCATGTTGATTTTTTTATATGTTCCAAATATTCATCCTGTAATTAGGTTTAAGTGTCAAACATTTTCAAATTTCATTCAATACCTTCAGTCCATTCTCATTCAATACTCTACACCTTCCATCAATACTGCACAAATTGTACAATATTGCACGCTTAAATAGGCCTGGTGGTAACGAACAACTCGTATCTTCCTCGGAGGAATAGCGATGAAAAAGATTTAAAATGAGCTTACCTCTGTATAGCAGAATCGCACTTTCGACATAATATGTAAGTATGTCTTCTATAAACAGAAAATCCGTAGCAATAATCATCTGATCAAATTAAAGCGATGACACCCTGCTGACTATAATTCAAATATTATCTAATTTAATAATAGTGTGTTGTGTTATCGCAATCGAAAGAATGCATCATGCAATAAAAATTTAAGCTAAGACCTGTTTCAGACGTTTATTTATTTAGTTGATTTTCATTCGATTCTCCGGGAACATGAAAAGATCAACGTCGGAGACAGACCTAATTGAAGACAATGTCAAATATTCTAATGCTATATTTAGTTCATTTTAGCTCATTCATACTATAATTATTATAAAGCAGAAATTGTTCAGACCGGCCAAGCGCTTGCATTTCGGCGACGTCGTTCCCAAACTACGCACTTTGGCAATTGGAATCATTTCGATACGAAATCTTTATATTTTCAAATAATACTGTTTAATATAATTGTTGTGAACAAAGTGATTTTCACCGATGAGAAATGAGTTGTCTTTATTTGCGTATTCAAATCGGTCATTGTTGACTGTTGCACACACATTCCACTACATCATGCATGCAGCCACCTAAACATGCATGTTCACAACACTCACGACCAAATGGAAACCAGGCATTATAAAGACCTTCGGCATTTTTTACATAATTACCCATGTCAGTCATAATCAATCGATCGATATAGCTATACGTGGCAAATTGCATGTGTAAAGTGGCATATTAAACTGCAATAACAAAGTATTCGCTGACTGCATAATGAAATAATTATGCATGGCAATCATTTCCGCATTCACGAAGAATATAGAATTGCTTAACTAAGGATCTATAAAATCTTAAATCAAAGTGACAAGCGATTTTTCAAAGTGAATTTATATGTATTATGCTTGCACAAGAAAAGTAAATATGTTTATAATGTGTCAAGTCGCGTCCACGGAATTCGTTGGAGCAAGATTCACGTTGAATTATTTCTTAATTTCTTTTGCTTTCTGTTTTGCAAATTCTATAACTCAGTCATGGGAATGACAAATATTTCTTCCTTGAATGACTTGCTGCTTGCTTTTATTCCATCCGCGACAAAGCTTGATTGTCTTATCTTTGTGTTGTAAACTAGGAGCTAAAACCCGCCCCACACGAGAGCTATATTATAGCTATACTGCATGTATAGCTGAGCTTAAAAGCTGCTTTCCACTTAAGGATGTTTTCCACTTCCGCGTTTTTCATACGCACGTACACGCACGTAAAAGTCTAAATCCTTATATACATGTTACTTTTGAAAAAACTAGGTGAGTAAATCGTAGGAACTTAGTTTTCTGCATATTTTAGTATGCATTAGTTGACCTAGATGTTAAATAATAAAAATTTAAAGCATTTAAAATTTTCCGCACGTGTACGTGCGTATAAAAAACGCGTAAGTGGAGAGCAGCCTTTATTATGAACTAAGGCTTGATAGGGATATTTGGGTTATTTAAAGCTCTGGGGCCAGCTGTTCAAAAGCAGGTTATCGCTAACCCAGGGTTAAAATTTTAACCTAGGTTGATTTGCGTTGTACAATTTAGCCCGGTTAGCGTTAACCCTGGGTTAAAATTGATAAAAAAATTAATCCTGCTAACTAGGTGGTTTAACTTTTTAATCCTGGGTTAACTTCGATTCAAAATAGATGAATAAGGAGCGGAAACACGTAAACCCGTACAATTCTTTATAAATTAAACACTTTCGAAAGGTTTTACGAACAGTTTCGGACAGCAAAGAATTATTTAGGCTTCATTTTGTTTCAGCTGATGTATTGATTTTTTTATATTCGCTTCAATGCAATACATGATAAATACATACAACCGCACAAATTTTCCATCGTAATCGAAATGTTTGTTTTGGATGCCATTGCATCAGGTATCTTAGCTGATCATTGTATTTCAATCTTCAACTGAATCTCGATTCTCTTGATTGGCAATGGTAATGGTTTCTGAATTTAATAATCAAACATTGCCTGAAATTCTAAAATTCATTGTTTGCAATTTGCTTCATTTTATTTCACATCGATTAACATACAAAATGACCTTTCATTTCGAAAATATTTCCCGCAATATTTTAAAAAGGACAAAGTTCCCGCAATTAATATAAATGTTTGCTGGCTGACCGGAATGATTGCTAGTAACATTTATCCGCATTACAAAGTTGGGCGGATCATCAAAATCGTTCTTTGCTTACTCGGAAAGTGGTGTAAATGAATTATCGTTGTCTTATTAGCTATGCCATTGAATCCTGTCTGGAAATTTTACGGAAACGTGTCTCATTATTTATTCACGAGGACGTTGAGAACAGAACTATAAATATACTTGTGCCCAGCATTTGGGGAGAATTACGTCATTAAATTAAACAAATTAAAGCGAGGCCCAAATACGCAGGCAAACAATATCCATAGTTGATTAATTCTGCGGCTTTAAGAAAGAACACCGATATGTAGTTGAATAAAAGATCATTCTGAAGCGTTATACAATCACAGGATTTTGTATTCTTCATTGATGGTGAGGGCGGAGAGAAAGAGCAATATTTTAGATATATCAATATTCATGAAGAGCCGCGTAAAAAGATAATACAACAATATAAAGCGCCATGACGGCTGACGCCAAGTCAATCTGTGGAAATCTCAAGTGTCATAGAAAATAATAGATGGCGCTCAGATCATAATTTTATCTCTTCTATAAAAATTAATCTCTTCTATAAAAATTGAAATATATTTTATAGTTTTCGTTTTTTTTTGTTTACCATTCAAACACATGCCTATAGTTAAAATTTCTATTAAAAAAATTTTACTGAAATGATTCACTCTTGGTCTTGGACCTAATAATTATCTCTTAGAACTCATTAGAAATCATTCATCCCACGCTTATACATCACGGTACGTGATGGCCGTAGGAGTTTAGTATAACTAGTTATAAGGGTTGAGTTGAATCTTAGTCTTATTCATGTTATACTCCATGTTACCTCCAGTAGTTAAATGTAAATAATTTTATTGAGCATAGCATCATATTACAGAACGATCTCAAATTTTACACACTCGAAAGTATTGTTAACATTGATAGTGAGACTTTTAAAACACACAATCAGTCGTTGATAACGCACAAAAATAAGCAAAACATTAAATAAGTGATGCTTTTTAAAAATTTATCTCGTTTTGCGCATCGAAAAGAGTTAAAAATGCAGATCTAAGATAGATAAGGTTAACCAAATAACCGAAATAGACTGTGTTTTTGCGCAAACGTGCTAAAATAAAAGAGATCATTTAAAAGAAGGAAATTAGTAATGACGTTTACATATACAGATGTGTATAGGCAAGGTTTTGAGCAAAGATACCTTGTTATAAACATATATTACAGCTTTTTTAAAAGAATGTTCCGCTAATTTTGTGGCTCAAAATGGACTATAAATATTTTTGTAATTTCCTGTAACGTTTTTCCCTATGCCTTTACAAGCCATCTAAATCAGAAGAGTTCGCACGGGACTTGCAGAAAAACCACATGAAATTAAGAATTAATTTGGTGATTGCGTATTGGTCAATTGAAAGCATGTTTTTCTCGGCCTTGTGGCTAATATGTATAGACAAGAGTACACTTTTGTTTCACATACATGAACATCAAACAAATCATGTCGCTTCTTAAGAAAAACTGGAGGCGAAGGAAACCAACCTTTCGCTCAATATTCCATCAAGAGGACTTTTTACGAGAGAGTGACAGCTCTATAGAAAAAGCAGTGTTTTGGACCTCAAATTTCCTCTCTATTCCGTCATCGGGCAAAAGTTTACTGAACTTAAAGAATAGCCAGGAACAATGCCTAAAGGAGAAACTGAATAAGATAAAGATTGTCATAAATGTTGGTGGAGAAAGATTTGTTATGGCTTATAAAACAATCAGCCTGTACCCTCACACCTTGCTCGCTACACAGGAGATTGACAAATATTTTGATCGAAAAAGAAAGGAATATTTCTTTGATCGTGATCCAGACATGTTCAGGTATAAAGGATAATAATTAACTGTAATTGAGAAATAAGCCGGGAATCAAATAGCTTGTTTTCCACACATTAGTATTAATTTTATTAACATTCAATTTGCAGACATATCTCATGTTTATTTAATCGACTGAATTGTGTGCATGCATGCTGTCGAGAAACGATTGATACAGGCAATAATGAAAAAATCATTAACTTGTCTTCTAATTAGACTTTTAAACTTGCAACTCAAATTTTAATTAAGTACTAACTAAATTAAACACTGCATGCATGATATCTTTATTTCTTTACGAATGCTATAGCTGTACAATCGCTCGAAGATATCATTATGTTATTCCGTAAGATTATGCAACCTCAAAAGCCATGCGTTCTAGTTAAGACCAGCCTCGCGCGCGCGCTCTACATACTATCAAAGACAGGGCGCTTATATATATAAGCGCCCTGATCAAAGAAACGTTTCTTACAACTCTGTCGCAAAATTCATAGCAGCACGTGCGTTTCGCAGTTATTTTAAGGTAGTTTTGTTTCACCGTTTCCCCTCTCTTAGTAATATAGTAGATCACTGTATGGCTTAAGGAATCTTTGACAAAAGTGATCTAGCAATGTTAGAACTATATACATCCTTTTAAGAGAAATGGAAATTACTTGAATAGTTATCGAATATCCGTATGTAACAGTTCTCCCTTACCCCATTAAAACAATTTCAAAGGAGCGCAAACAATTTCCAAGCGAGAACACTTGGAGGATTGAGACAATATTCAATGGCCAAAGTGGTTATCTCAAAGCCACCTACTCAGAAATCCCTCCTTCAAACAGTATTTGACAAGCCATACATGAGATAGTTGGCCAGGCACTTAACACCCTATTATAATGTCCCGTAACGCTTAAAAGTAGAGATAATTTAGTTTCATGTATTTACACAGAAAATATTTATTGCTAAGATTGAAACAGAGAAGCTCGTTGCCATGCCCTGGTTCATAAAATATACTTTTATTTATTCGTAGCTGAGACGCATTTACTTTATTACAAACACAAGATGAAAGATTAAACAATTACTTAATGATTTCCGTGTTTGGATGGCCTGATCCAAACAAACGGGAATGTTGCAAGAGTTAAGAAAATCGCGTAAAACACGATCGGAAGCCGAAGGCGAGCAAGCTGTTCTTAACTCAAGCAGCATCCGGCCCCACTAAGTATTTGGATCAGGCCATCGAGACCATTAATAAGTGGTTGTTATATAAAATAACAAATACAAGGTAGTGTTTCAAGTTTGATTTCCATAAGCAAATTAAGTAAATTTCCGTGTTTGGATGGGCTGATCCAAACACGTCTTCGCCCAATCAGAACACATGTTATATACATTTTATACAAAATGCTATGTGGAAAACGATGAAGGTATAGATAGCTAAACTATCTTTAGATTTTAGAAGTTTCAGCGCATTCTTGCCTGTTTGTTGATCTCGCAAATCTCACCCTTTCCGGTGCCGGGGTTACCACATGATGATATGGGCTCAAACGGTCAGCTGTAGTCATAACTGACTGTGAATTGCATACAGACTCGGTTGCTTTCAGGGAATGCTTTTAGAGATTCAGTAAAAACGCAGAAAACCACTTGTTGATAACATCACAGCAAAAGTCGTCATGCATTAATAATTTGATAATTAATTAATAATAACGACTAGACGATTTCGAACATCTGGTCTACTAGGACACGCTAATGTTGTGTGATGCTGAAATCATCTTGACCGAGAGACGGATAAAAAATACTTATTATCTCGATTCAGCCTAAAATTACAATTTACCCGTTAACGAAGCTAGCCCGACTTTTGGTCATGCAAATGAAAATACTTCATTGCTTTTGGACTGTGAAGACAATCAACTTGTCAAGAAATGAATAATGATAACGCCAAATTTTGCATTTTGCATGACTCAAAGTCGAGCTGGCTTCGCCACCAAAATGTACCCTTTTGGCAATCACTTGTTGAAGGTTTTCTTCTTATACCGTCTCTTTTGTCATACCGTAAATCTCACACATAATGACCAAATTAACTTGCATGCCGATTGAATCGTTATGTTTTTTTCTTAATAGGTATGTTTTTAAGTTTTACACGCACGATAAGATCCACTTTCCAATGGATGAATGCATCCAAGCATTGATCGACGAATTCAAATTCTTTCGGATTCCGCTGGACATCATGAAAGACTGTTGCTATGCTGAATTCCATCTGGAATACGAAAATAACACTAATTCCACGAAGTTTGCAAAGCAAAACCGACCTGCGCGACAATCAACAACGTCACGCAACAGTCACAACGTTTCTTCGAAATCACTAAGTGATACCAATTGGTTTCGCTATTTGCTGTCAAGAAGTGAATCAAGAGCTGTGACCAACATCTTATTATTCTGTATCGTATTCAACATACTTGGCATGATTCTTGAAACCTTACCTTGCAGCAGCAATTCCGAGAAATGCGGGGACCTCTATGCCAAGACGTTCTTCATATTTGATACCATATGCGTTCTGATTTTGACACTAGAATTTGCAGTGTCCTTTTCGAAAGCCCAGAACAAGAAGGCCTATTTCTGTCGCGTACCCATTGCGACGTACTTTGCTTCGCTCGTACCAGCTTACATAATGTGGCTCTTGTATAGTATTCTCGGGTTTAGAAACACTCCCATCGTTTTAGAGGACATCTGTAATGCTCTTAGGGTAATTCGCATAGTAAAGATTGCTAATTCGTCCTCTCATCTGCGAGACACTGTTGGTCAAATTATGTCAGCCGCGCGAGGACTAGGGCTAATTCTTCTGACGTGTATTATCGCTATAATAGTCCTGTCTGTGTTGTTGTATCATCTCGATGACACATGTCCGCACGTGCCTTTGGGAATGTGGTATTTCGTAGTCACTATGACATCACTGGGGTAAGTGAAAAGAAATAAAATAATATAAGGAACAATAATTATTTGTCGCAAGCATTCTTAGCTTCTACTCCTTTAATACTTTTGTTGCTTTAGATATGGGGACTACGTACCATCAGCGACCTCGGGAAAACTGCTTGGAGCTGTTGCTGTCATTCTTGGAATACTCGTTGTCTCTTTACCCGTCCCAATTATTCAGAATAAGGTAACCATTATTGTGATAAAGTTTCATTGTTAAACATTATTGGCATGCACCCATTAGTTCTAACCGTAATCATGTCCTCATTATTAATCAAATCCTCATTATGATTATTATTAATCGCAATATCCTAACCCACAAACAAAAAAATACTTATTTCAAACTTTGACTTTGCGATCCATCCTAAAATCACAATGAACCCTGTAACGAAGCCAATCTCATTTTCTTCGAAGCAAGTTTTCCCCCAGCATAATATTGTGATGATTTTATACAAATTTTTGTAGATTGGTGCAAGTTTAGACGTTGATCCAGAACCAGAAACAGACGAGATAGTTTTAGACAGTTTGTATCCGCCTGATTTTAAATACAGACAGCGCAGGATGTCCAGAATGTTCAGTCTGGAGCATAGAGTAAATACACTGAAGAAATCAGTGGAAAACGTTAATCATGTCATGCCTTGAGGTGACATTTAACTTCGATAAGTAAATGTAGAAACTACTGCACCTAACGTTGAGTAAAGGATGTATATAACCATTTAGGATGTATATAACCATTTAGGATGTATATAAATAGTTTTGGCTCATTCTATTGTTTCTTTATTCTATTGTATTGTGAAAATGCAATTATGCAAAACGTCTTTTGTCGCCTTTCTTAGCAACCAAAATTCTCATTTCCCCTACCTCACGATGACTCAAAAAGTAATAAAGCTAACTTTTCAAATTTTCATGGTTAACTTAAAAGACATTTAGCTCGTCCAGTTTCTATCATTGGGTGTGTCTGGTGTTCGTAATTATGGTGTTCATTCTTACAACACCTTTTCTGCTTTGCTTATAGTATAGTGATAATATAGTAAGCCTAAAGTCTAATATCCAAAGTAAAAAAAAATTAGACTGTCAGACCCCTTAAAGTTGAGTGGCTTTGGTTTTCACCGACATTTTCTCATACAGAAAGAGTAACCACAATAATTTTTTATCTTGCAATGGCTAAACTGTCGAAATCGTTGGAATTCTAACATTGGCGGTATCTCCCATAGGTAGCTAATCAATAGTGAAACATTTGTCACATTCCCATACTCATTGTTAGTATTACGTACCGTATTACGTCCACATAATGTTGTTGGCTGATAGCTGCATATTTACAGGCCAAACAAAATCGCACTACAGTAGTGCTCTGTTTTCTTTGTTTTCTTGATAGCACTACTGACAATTTGGCCTCAAATATATTAGCGTATCTACCAACTCTGTCACTGTCCACATCTCGCACGTGTGTTCCATGCGTGGCTTTTTCATCTTCAAAGTGTTGAAAAATGCTCGTGGTTCCGATGATTTCCAGCATATAAACAAAATGTCTGTGCTTTTATAACAATTTTATTTAGAAAAAAGAAGAGCAAATTCTATTATTCAACAACTATTAAAACAGAAAAAGTTCAACACTATAAGATTCAGTATGAAATATTGGCCAAGTTTTCTTTATGACCTTAATCCAAATGCTTTGGTTTCAACCGTTGAACAATTGTTATCTTTGAATGTTAAATGGTTACCACATGTTTCCTTCCAACCCAACTTTGTGAAGAGGTATTCTGTGGACAACCAAAATCCGTTCCAAGGTCCTGAATGTTATTCGGGAGTTCTTGGAATAGACATTTTTCGTGCTGATGCCTTTTACCACGCTAACGTTGAGGCGGACCTGTTTTGTACCGATTGTACAAGGTTTGTACGATGAAATTAAGATTGGTAGGTTGATGGTGGTATTCGACGGTGCTCCAAACGGTAAGTGGTGAGTATTCTGTATAACATATCGGCATGATCTCTGATCTTTGGATGATAGGTTATACCATGATATTCTAATATCCAGTATATTGGATTTGATGGAAACATCGCCAACATGAATTGGTGGATTTCCATTAAATAAAATGCCCTCGTGCGTCCTCTTTTCGTTGTTCTTTACTTGGGGAGCTTAATTTATGCTCACGGTGATGTCCCGCGTGGATTCCTGAAGACTTCAAAAGTTTCTGGTCAATTGGAACGACGATAAATGGTTATGGCAAGCGTGCGAGGATATTGACAGGAGTCGAGACAACCGACGACACACTAACAACACCATAGCCTTGGAGAATAGAGATCGAAACAATCAAGTCAATGACGAATTAATTATTCCGGACTATTTCTCATCGGTCAAAATGACTGGCTACCGGTATGTAAGAGTTACATGTACTTGAAAAATTATTTAGGAGTTAAAGCCCGCTAGCTATTAGATCAGAAGTGAACCACCACGACCCCCAACCCCCCCCCCCGCTTCGTGGTCTCTAGTCTGCGTGAAAAGGAATTTATTCTCATGCAAAACTTGAAGTTGGTCAAGAAAGTTTCCTAAGGAAATTTTACTGCACAAATGTGCAAGAAATGGTAAAATTTATGCCAATATTACCCTGTTTCACAAAAGCTATGCAGCAGAAGACAATGAAATCTAGTAGTCTGCACCATTACGTGAACGCAACATAAAGTATTGCCAATATATGAACATTTGGTAATTTTTGTTCTCAAATTACCATAAATAAAAAGTTGCAAATTGGATACGACAAATATGAAGGCAGCACTTTTGCTCTGTTTTTTCGGCTGCTCTTTAGTCAATTCCCTCAACAATGGGCTTGGTTTGACACCACAGATGGGATGGAACTCGTGGAATCATTTTGGCTGCAATATTAACGAAGAAATCATCTTGAAAACGATACAGGCGCTATCAATTTCACCCCTTCGGAAGGTTGGCTACGAATATGTCAACATAGACGACTGCTGGGCAGCAAATAGATCCGCTGAAGGCAATATTATCGTGGATTCTACAACATTTCCTCATGGTATCGCACCACTAGCTGATGCTGCCCATAAAGTAGGGTTAAAGTTTGGGGTGTATAGTGATGCAGGTTTCAAAACATGCGCTGGTCGCCCAGGTTCACTCAACCATGAAGTGTCTGATGCAAACACATATGCTAGCTGGGACATCGACTATCTGAAATATGATAATTGTTTTACTGATAAGTCAAAACCAGAGAAGAGATACCCCATTATGAGGGATGCTTTGAACAAGGTAATTATACATTATGACAGCTTTGTATTATATAATTTATTATATTCCATATTTGTATTTGGCATTTTTGATATTGCAACATTAGACCTCACACAGTTATAGTACACTCACTGACTCAATATAACACTAGTCCTGTTATTATGCTAGGTTTTTGCACATTATAATATTAGGGAACAAAACAATTTTATGTAGCTCTTGTACCTAAACCCCCAAATTATAGTTTCACAAATATGAATTATTAACTGGTTAAGAGGAAATAAAAAATTGTGTTGACATAAAACTAGAACATTTTCCAGTGTGTTTTCATTATGGTTAAGTCCAAACATGTCTGCAATAAAAAAGTTTATTTCAAATGCATAATTTATCAACCTCCCCTATAGTCTGGCTTATAGTATAAAAAGTGTACTAGAAATACATGCATGCAAAATCCCCTCGCCTGATGCAATAAACTTATCTTTCCATCACTGAAATTCTGTAATACTTGTTTCTCCTGAATGATCGAAGTCATATAAGTTAAATCCTATATCAAGTACAATTATAAAGTCAACCAACCCTTGAGCAACAAATTCAACTATAATCATAATTCATTAATTGTGCTACAATTAAACAGTTTAAATACTGTACTACAATTTTTAGCAAAATTTCAATTCCTTTTTAAACAGATTTACCTTTAAAAATAAATGCTTTCCCCAATCAAAATCATTTTAACAAAATTGACAAATCAATTCAAAAAGGTGTCCTACATTTGTTGATAAATCCACAAGTTAAATTTACAAAATGCTTGTATGCTTTAACATACAAAATCTACCCATTTATGTGTTCAAAAACACTCCAAAATGCTTTAAAATCATAGATTTTTCACCATTTAAACCACCCAAATGAAATATATTTTTAAAATAGTTTTATAATTCAACTATTCAAAATATCAGTTGTGCTGACACGAACCAAAATTTTAATTTAGCTAATTCCACGCTTGCAAACGTTTCTTAGTTACCAGTTTTAACATGTCTTAAACTCACACATGCACATAACTTACAGAAACGCCCAAGTCCATGACATGGCGGACAACTTTGATTTTGCATTTGCATTCCCGGGCATGATTAAAATCTCTGGGCAGAATTAGTACCCTCGCCCTCTGGGATAATATACATAATGTTAGAAGCCTAAACACGTATACCTTGATTGGTGGCCAATTAGGTCATATATTTCTTATATTGGAATGTTTTTGCAGTAAAATCAACAGTATGCTATATTTATAATGTATATACTGAAGATAAACATTGACATGTCTGGGTTTAGATTAGTTGACAAAGAACTATCAATAATCTTATTAAAAATTGAATGTTACCACAGAACAAATGAGCATTAAAATTTCAAAAATAAGAGTAAAAAGAAAGGGTTATCAAGATTAATGTGGAAATCCTGTAAAAATGTAACTGGTTCTTATGACATGCATAATGGACCTTAGACTCAGAATGGGTACATTGCATCCATGATGTACGTAAATACCAGTATGATAAAGTCTCATAACATTATGTTTTCCCTGACATGTTGTCATACTACAGTATAAGATAAACATATTGACATATCTGGGGGTAAATTACTTGGTGAAGAACCATATGAATTTAATATGTACATATATCTATTAATTTCAATTTTCACTACACAACTATATATTCTCTAGGTGGGTGAAATATGTTTATTGTGGATAGATCACTAAGATATTTTAAACCCTGAACTAATATGTACGCCATGCAAGCAGCAAGGGGGGATGGCAAATGGCACCCAGGCATTTAAGCAATGCCCAACTACCCAGGCTTCCGTGCAGAAGCCGAATTGGGATTTGTGACAGAATTTTCCATTTTTCCATTCCACTATTAAACTAAATTTTAAAACTAGGAATATTTATTGGTAGTAATACAAAATGAAATATACAGAAATTGTATTTATTTCAGCTTTTACAATACCTGTTCCTGTATATTGTAGTCCTGTACTTTCGGTATTCAGTATTCACATCACATGTTCAACTGACCTGTTTTAAAAACACATTCAGTCGAAATTTATGCAAATTTGAATTACCTCTTCGATAAAATCTTTTTAACCTTCAGTCTTCCTTCAATCTTGGAATGTAGGCGATGTATCAGTGCATTTGTTGTTTGTTTGGAGGTATATTTTTGACTGGTTCTCGACTTAGAATTTAGAAACAAAATTCGCCATCTTTATTTAAAAGAAATTTTCGCGCTTCTGTGGTAACGAAAAAAACATACATCAAAAGGCTGATTCCGACAGTGCGGATTGAATGGACTTCGTCTTCTTTCGTATAAATTTATAATTAACACATTTACTTTATAGTCAAGAGATAGGTCAAGACTCTCGCAACCAACGTACGTGATAGCCTACTAGTATGACCGTAGTTATCGTCACTCTCCTCTTCGCCGAGCACGAAGCGATGCGAGAATTAGCTTAAAACGTCTCGACTGGTTTTGGCTCTGACCTTTACGATAATTATAGAGGTGGATCACGTGACGTTCTCAATCTTGTTCACATGCTTGCTATATATACAACATTGAATAATGCCCGAGTGACTAGTAGGAAGGAAACATAGAAAATGACCTCACATTTTGTTTCAGACTGGTCGCCCTATATTCTTTTCCATGTGTGAATGGGGTGTTGACGACCCTGCGACGTGGGCAGGCGATGTTGGAAATAGCTGGAGGACTACAGGGGATATCAAAGACAGTTGGGACAAAATGATTTCTATCGCTGATAAAAATAACAAGTGGTGGAAATACGCGAAACCTGGTGGCTGGAATGACCCAGATATGTTAGAGGTACGTCATGTAGCACCGTATAAACTGCATAAAAGTATCTCGAGCTTTGAGAATGCATTGTAGATCAAAAGATTCTCCAACAAGCACATTGTATTTTAAAGCTTCGGCATCGCTGTGTGATCATAGGCGATAGCTGATAGAGAAGTATACTCATTTTCCATACTTTTGTTCTCGTTTATGGAAATGTATGCACATTAATGGTATCAGTGCACCTTGTGTATAACGAAGCGTTGATCCAAGAGCGATCAGATTGACTGGAATAATGAATGAGTGACTTTATCGCCACATGTTCATACTAGTCTCATCATAGCATGCCTTTTATTTTCTTTATGTTTTGAAACATGGTGCATGATTTAGCCTTGATCTAGCTTTTTGCAGTACGTATAGAAATGTTCATTGAAATTAATGTGTTGAACTAAATTTTGGCCGAATCCTTCCTTGCTGCAGGTTGGTAACGGCAAGATGTCAACTACAGAATACATCACACATTTTAGCCTATGGTGTCTGATGAAAGCCCCTCTTTTGATTGGCTGTGATATACGAGACATACCTGCCGACACACTAAACATACTCACAAATGCGGACGCTATTTCTGTAAACCAGGATCCACTCGGGGTTCAAGGTCACAAGATTCGTACCAACGGGAACCTTGAAATCTGGGCTGGCCCTTTGAAAGATGGTAGTATGGCTGCAATCCTGTTAAACCGTGGTTCAGATATGCTGAATCACAATAACAACGAAATCTGTTGGATGCAAATTTACACTTCAGTGTTTACGATATATGGCAACATACAAATCTTGGAGAATTTCCCGGAAAGTACTCCACTGAGGTGGAAACACATGGTGTTATGTTTGGGAGATTCACAAAGGAAGCAGAGATTACAGATAACTCTATCATATTCTAATGCTTTATGGCATTAGAGGAAAGGCATCCACGAAGGCGGAAAGATTTAAAGAATTTAGAAAATAATTTAGTGACATTTTACAATAATTCAAAAACTAAATTTTCGTCCGAGGAGTCGGTAGAATTTTTCTAAAATTCGCTAATTTTTTTATACGTGACATGACATAGTGAGAGACGGGTTGATCCATCGTTGATATTCTAGAACGACATAATTACCAAGACGAATGCAGCAACATGCATGTTAAATCTATCAAACACAATACTGACCGTGAATATATTCGGAAATGTGGAATAATTTAATTTTTTTAACCAAATTAATATTCTTAGTAACCTCAGACTCAGTGGATAGTATTTTCGTTTCGCGTTCCCGTTTTTAGTTCCTCCAAAGCAGTTTTGTTTGTACGCAAATTCGGCTATTTTGATTATCTTTGGAAAATCATTAATTAATAATAATTAATTGCACTACAATACAATTAATTAATTAATGAAACATCCCCATGTATTCCTCTCAACCAATTACACCCCTCATCCAGTAATTTTAATATGCTTCTAACATGCTAGGATATATAGTATAGTAATCATATGCTGTGAAAAATAAAATTTCGGTAAATTTCTATTGCAAAAACCTACTAATTGCAAGCATATAGTGATATACATCAGTGGTCACACTTAAATCAATCAGAGATCAGAGCAGCTGGAGCCTGGAGGTAAATGGAGATACATACTTCATAAGACCACATATCGATGGTTACAAAGAAATAGCTCAAAATACCTTTGTGATTTTGATATACATGATTAATAAATTATATAGATTCCCCAGCACCCGTCCATCGCTGCAAAAATTGTCGACAAATTGATTATGTAAATGTCTGACATTGTCAACGAGGCAAATTTGTTTGTTTCTATTATAACGTGAATGAGAGGTCGAATTGTTTTAGTTTAAATTGTACCTCTTCGTAGCACAAGAGCTAGGGTATTTCAAAGGAAAAGTACATAATTCGTGCATCATTTATCTACTTTTACCTGACGTTTCAACAATGCACTTGCTTAAAAACACATGATCAATCGCCATTAATTATGTCCAAATTTGACGAATGCTTCGACGACATCTCATTTAACGTTCCACTTACTTTCAACATTTCTGTTTTGGATGCCTGAAGTACATAATCAGCATTCAGTAACGGATTTTGCAGTGAAAACAAATTCCAGTGCCATTTTGAGAAATATGTATTTTCACGCCATTTGCAGATTGCAAAAAAGTTAAATGACATACATCAAAAGGTAGATACCGACAGTGGAATGGGGTGCCGGGATTTATTACGTTCTGTGAGTTCGGGTAACTTCGAGAACCGTTAGGGGGAAAATCAAGACACCTCTCCCTCGCGAGATGGATATATATTTACTATGATTCAAAACTGAAGGGACTAGCCTTTGCGTGTTAAATTTAGCTAAATTCATGCTCGCTTTAGCATCACACGCTGCTATTCTGCAATTCTGAAATAACAAAAAGGGACGAAGTACATGCATGCATGATAAAGCTACTGCTTACGACTAAGAGTCTTTATAAGCGGCCGGCTTATTAACTCTAACATAACGTAAAGTTTTAAGCCGAGCAAAGTAATTATCGGAATACATATATCTTTATAGGTACAGTTATCAGCCATGCAGCCAAAATAAGTTACGTAATGCATACACAAAAAACACTAAAACATGGATTAATTAATGTATATTTCAAATTAGCTAAAACGATATACATGCATCAATAATTATTTCCTATAATGCAGAAAATAACTAAAACTAGATTTTGTCTACGTACTGTCTACTGACGAGATGGTTTTCTTAGATAATGAGAAATTTCTATGTTTAGACAGTTAGATCAACTTGATGGAAACGGCAGCTGCAAGTGCAGCTAAAGTTGAATGGAAATTTATAATTACCCCACGGTTTAGCGGGAAATACCTCGATCATTGCGAATTTTTATCTGAAGATAAACTTCTATTATCCGCTTCATGATGAATTGGACATGATCCAGTCAAATTCTCAGGCTTAGTTGCGCCTTCTGCCTGATTTTCAGTGGTTTCACATACACAGTACTTGATTTCTGCACAAGCGTTCCGTCTTCCTTTGCGAACACAGCTTGAAAATTCGGTTTGCGGTTCTGTTTGTGATGTTGCCATGATTTAGCCGAGTCCTATAATATATACTGAACGCCGTAATCGTTATTTCTACAACTCCAACAAAGCCAAAACCATGACTTATAGCTAGAAATACTTTAATCGCGGATTCCAGCAACGTTCGTTGCTTTGCGGTTTCGGTAAGACAAAGTCGTATTGTCGTAAGCGACAAATAGGTCGTCTTTGACAAAAAATCAGCTAGTTCACTGTAGCGTTGACAAAATCGCTCACAAGTGCAATATATCAACGAATACTTGGAATCACGGCGGTAGGTATAAGTAACTCAAGCGAAATCCACGTGAACTGGACTAACAGCTAACTTTTGTTTGTAACACAGTACGGCACAGTAGCTATAAACCACGACCGCCGCCGATAAAAACAGATTGCTGCTTCAATAATACAATGTCTACAGGAACACAAGTATACAGTATTTAGTTGGTATTCATTTGAGAAATTGCCGGCCCCTGAAGAGTATGATTAATCGCAAAGTAAACTTCAATGAAATCAAGATCAGCTACAGTACAACGCAGGGCACGACAGCAAAAAGTTTGAATTGAATCTGAGCAGCTAGAGTATCGTCCGATGACAATGCCACTTAGTTTCTGTATAATCCGTGCTTTCACAGTGTCGCCGGTTTCTTAATGAATCAAGAATGAAGTCGATTAAGGAGCCCGCATGTTATCGTTCCAACGTAGAACAGTTCCAACGTAGATTATAGTCTAAGAATTTTTGTCGCCCTTCAGTGAAACAGATCTTGGCGAAGTATATACAGGAAAGTTTATTTCCAATGTAATTCCACTGACAGTCGGTTGCAAAGACAATACAAACAATATTTCTATATAATTGTCGATGTTTGATATGGTTCGATAAAATCTGTAACACAAAAAAGGGAAATATCAATGTCATATAGTGAGAGCAGATTAACCGTTTTACTGCGAAACCAGAATTTGCAAAAGTTGCAATGATAAAAATGGAAAATTCCATTGTAAAAACTATAAATAAACCCAAAGATCTATCAAGCCAACAGAGTATGTATTTAACATCAACAAGGCTTACTTTAAAACAGGTTGTAACGTGCAAGAATACAGATAATTTTTTCACGCCAGTAATTCCACGCACACGTCTCCGCGAGAAACGATCGTTATTGATGGAAAAGTTCAATGAATATTGCCAACTATTATGCTCAAAAGGCCAAAGGTTGTTGATAATATGTAAGGAAGAAGGTAGCACTGGGCTGCTGAGCTAAAATATATTCATAAACCCGGTAATAGAAATAAATACGTGTTAAAGGATGCTCGATATAATCAGTAGAAAGAAAACTAAAACAAACATACAATGTTTACACTGCAAAGCCAACCAATGATATCCAATTTAACTCCATAATTTATCGCGATAAACGTGTGTTTGGCGTCAGCTTGTGGACCGTCTTTTGCATAAAATAATAAATAATCAAAGAATCACACGTCTTCGACTTCGTTGTTTTTACATCTGTTTCGCTCGCAGCCACACGAGAAGAAAAAGTGATGTTAATTCTGCCAGTAAATTTCGATGAACATTTAGAAAATTCTTAGATGAAACAATTATATTTCGTATATGTTTATGAAACGAAGACCGTCTTCCAAACGACGCCAGATGACAACACCGAGCCAGTCCATACAATGAATCTATAATTACGCTACGCTTTAATTGCGAATGCAGATTGACGGGAAAATGACTTAAATTATCACGTCCCTGTTTGAACATTTATGCATTGAAGTACTCAATTATCTCAGCATAAGCTCACAGCTTTATGGGAAATTATGCTTCAAGGTGATAAAAAGACGGGACAAAATTTAGACGACGAAGTGCATGTTAATTGCAAATTACGATTATGAACTACCGTAGTTATGATATTTTAAAAAAGTAATATATACAACCGGGAAATGATAGATATAGCGAGTATAGAGGGTAATTGCAAACAAGGGGGAAAAACTTGTGACATATTTTCATTCAGTTTTTACAATAAAATGATATCAAGATCTTAAATTTCACAGTACATATATATCTATACATACATATTAGTCCATAGGCATAGCCTATATATATAATCTTAATGTATGAAAAGCCAACAACTATTTCTATATGATTTGACATTTTAGGATCCGTGTGTACTGTATACGGTAGACGTACTTCTTCTTACCATTTTAGTTTAACTAAAGGCTAGTTTCCACTCAGGAAAATCCTCCTTTGGATCGGACAGGACAGGACAGGAAAGTTTCCTTTGTATATACGCCGCCTGAGAACTCACCGACACAGGAATTTTCCTGTCCGTTCCGATCCAAAGGAGATTTTCCTGAGTGGAAACTAGCCTTAACGGATAATTACGAAGAAGAGATTCTTACAATTTTCAGTCTTATAAATCCAAGGTCCGTCCACTCTTGTTGGCTATTCAAGCAATCATTGGCATCCTATAGCTTGTGACTTTAAGGTTAGAAACAATACCGATGAGAAGTTAACAATATAATCCATGAACTAGCATTTGAGAGATGAATATTTAAACAGTTCAAGGTTGTTTAAGACGACGTAACGGGATTTTTTTATTGAATCTCAGAAAGCCGTTTCCGCCCGATTTTTTTTTCATGTCTAATCGCCATATATGTAGTGGATTCACTTTGTCTTTGGACAAGCGAAAAATTTCATTCGATCAGATATTCGTCTCGTGAGAGGCCGTCTTTTTATACGTTGCTAAGCTATGTCTAAAACGGCAACGGCAATGTCTGGCCAAAAAAATATAGTATTGCATATGGAACTGTTATTGCTGTACGTATATAGCACATCCTAATAAAGGTTTCAATGAAGACGGTTTCCCAGTATTCGCTCTATCTTTTTTGTAATTGCATGCTTAAGCAAATTCCATGGACTGTGCGCGAGGAGAGGGGAAAAAAGCAAGCCCTTATTTTTTCCTTGGACAAATAATATCACAGAAAAATTGCGTGGGCCAGTATTTTAAACCAGCTCGCGGTCCCTGAGACAGACGAAAAGAAAATCGAGTAAAGGAAATATAGCTGATTCCACCTCTTAATTGATAAACTGCCTTCATTGAAAGAAGAAAGAACAAAGTGTCATTTGATCGAGATATTCCGCCTCTTAAAAAACTGAAAAGAAAATCAAAGATAAAGTTGTCTTTGATCGAAATATAAATTATTCCTCCTAGTGGTTGGCCACATGCATGTTGAGTGCTGACAGTCATCGCGATATATGTCAGATGACAATTAGGTTTTGGCCAGTGAACTCAAATAAGACTGGAACGCTCACTCTGTCGGAAGTTTGAAGCCAAGGTGGCGGACACTGAAGCCTTTCTTGTAGGTACACTGTGCAGGTATGATCCAGTCCTCCACGCGGACATTTCGTAGATAAAATGGCGGCAATTTCTTTTTTATCTTTGAAATTTACGCGCCAGAGGTCTGGATCATACACCTACAAGAGAGGCTCATTGTCCGCCATCTTGGCGTCACTCATTAACGAGGGAAAGTCAGAGAGTGAGCGTTCCAGTCTTATTTGAGTTCGCTGGTTTTGGCATGGCATTGTGAAATTGTAGGTTCTCTATTGGACAGTCTGTTTGTACGATGTCTGGGAATTGCTTCGCTCCTGGCAACGAAAGGGGAAATATCAAGATATTATGTATTATGGGCATACTTATGATATGTTGAAATCCCTGCGGCTACGGTTGAACATGCAGCAGCACACAAACGAACAAGTTGGTACAAAAAATATACATAAAGAATTGGTATGAAAAATACAGCATGCTCACGAAGTAACTTTTGATAGCTTTTTATGGCTAAACGAGCGCGAGGTTTTTACCAAGGAACATTGGACCTAGGACGAAGCGACCAAGGTCCAATATTTCTCCGTAAAGACCGGCCAAGAGAGGTTAAAAAAGAATTTAATATATATATTAGTAGCGTGGTTGATATTAGACGACAACAAAATATTGCGATATAAAATATTTCCCTTTCAGCTTTTATTTTGCCATTTTCGCTGGTTTATTTAAGCAACTTCATTGGGGGAGGAGGGGGGGGGTGTATATCCATATATTCAAATGTAGCCTACACCCCCCAATCAATCACTGCAAGAATTCATGAAAATTCTTCATATCACAAGGCTCCATTTCGCGAAAGTGATGTTAGCCACATGCTAAGGGAGGAGAATAGTATTTTTTGCGAAACCAATCATTCTTTGTCAAATTCAGTATGCCTTGTATGACGAATTGCGTCGTCGGCGTATAGGCGATGCAACCCCAAAGGCTCGCGAACAAAAAACGAACGACATTAAAAAAATTAAGGTTAACGAGCCAAATATGGAAAAGTAGAACTACGATTAGCCTTAGGGCGACATCGGGTTTTGCATGATATTGATGACGAACTTCTGCCAGACGGATTTTGTAAGCTATTGCACTTAAAAAGAAATCCGTCAGGCAGAACTGCATTTATGAATAAACAATGAATAATCGTTCTAGTTACGCCACAGATCACCAACGTTCATATAAAAAGTATGTTCACATGAAGTATTGTATTCAGTCAAAAATACAGCTGCAGCAATAATAGTCAGCAATAAATTTTCCATGCATTGATTATTCTTCAATTGTTAATCGATGTGCACCTTCGACTTCCTATAGGAAAAAAAACTAGTTTAGGAGAAATCGCAATATAAAGACTATTATTACATCAACGTTTACATTTTCCTACACAGTTCTTCTCCAGAAATTTTTACCTTTCTTACTTTTGCGAGCAAAAACATGTAATTACGTTATGTCCAAGAAGGGTAGACGTTATAAACAACGAAACAACAAGCACAGGCAGAGACTTAGAGCTCTGACGTTGGATATAAGTTGGAATACCCGAGAACTGGCCCTGTACGTATCTAGTCTAAAAATTTGCGTATCCAAGATGGCGGATGTTTTCGTTCAGATGATACTCAGACATTTCGTAACGAAGCTTGCACCGCAATAAACTTGTTATAAATTTCTGGACTTCTTTTAATGCAAATTATGGCCTTTTTTCCGTGGGTACTAATTGGTGGGCAGAAAACTAGAAATATTCAAATTTAAATGGCTTACCCTGCAGAAGATATCTTGTATTTTTGTTCAGTCAGAATACTTAAAATGATGCCAGTGAAGAAAAGATAAGCCAAAAATCTAAGAGGATCCACTAAGAGAACTTTGGAACGAAGATAAACAATAAAATGGTGGAGACGTCCACTTGAAAGCTCGCGATCTTTATGGTTCTGTTAAATAAAGGTCAGCAATATCTTTTAGACATAAATATGTACATGCGAGAAGAGAAGGCTGGCGCGGTGAAGTGGTATTGCGGAACAAACATGCATCTCTTTCAATTTTGAATAAGGGAACAGTCCGCAAAGATGATTTATCCATATTATAGCCTAATCCAATTATAGCCTAATACTGCGTTGATAATGTAAACGTGCAAACGCCCTCCAGAAGGTATTTAATTCTGTTTAGAGACGTCGCCAGTGTAGTGTTAAACATTCACCGATAAGTGGTTCTTGCTCTACGATTTTTAGGAACTTGCATATTAATACTTACAGGTCCAAGTTGATAATGACTTAAGAATTGTTCCAGCGTAGGCTCTGATTTCGTCACTGGAGGCAAATACTCAGAAGTGAATTCACGTCTCCAACAAGACTTGATTGATCTTAAAGAAAAAAAAGAAAGATAAACGAGTGAAGTTTAGATCTCACTTTGGATTTGAGCTTGGAACATATTCTGACACATATCATGACCATTCTAGGTGACTCTGAGTCACGGGAAAAAGTCCAGTACTTACATAAACATGAAACTACTTATGCATGAGTGCATATTTATTATATTTGTCTTATGACAAATGAACTGTTTAAACGCTGGACCTGCACCAAAGCGTCTTCCTTTGGAAACAAATGATATAAAACTAATAAAGAAACAACCTTAATTACCTGACATTACGAACAAAATCTCCAATGGAACCTATATTCTTGTTCACTTTGGTGTAATAGTACTTATAAAGCAGGGCTCGGACATAACGTGGTGGTTTCTTGAATGGTTGTTCCTTGGCCAGTAGACGAAGAACGTCTGCGTCACCTTCAAGTAATTTGTAAACTAGATGTACGAACCAAGGATTGTGTTGATATGAACCAAGAGCTGCGAACCACATTTGCCAGTCCAGTCGTGGTTGATGTGGAGCTGTAAAAAGTTTGTGAACACTATATTATTTGTTAATATGGCGACGGAAAAAAATAGTTTGCTAAAGTTGAGCCATGCAGAGAGCAGGTACAAACTAGAAGTAATCAAAGATTAGCAAGAACGTTCGGTGGTCGGATTTCTCATCGTTAAAACACTGCAAGATACGTCGAATGCTTTTATAAGAATCTTCACTCATATTTCAAACACTTTAAGATGAAGATAATCGATACAATTGCTACAACTTCTTATTAAACAGAGAATACGAAAGCCCGAATGCCCGGTCCTAAACAACAGCTTAATATCGCCAAATACGGAAAGCACATAAACTGATTAGGACGCGGCACGGAATCAGGAAGTCGAAGTAAACGCAAAAACACGAGAGTGAGGCAAATGCCAAACATCTCAAAAACGACTTAGTATTTAGCCGTGACGTCACGATTCTCCTTCGTCGAACGCAAATATGAAAAGTGTTCGAAATCAAAATTCGTACTTCACGCTAATACAGTAAAAAAATTACTAATACAGTTGACGAATTTTCCTTGCAACTTTCAATGCAATTATAATTTCGAGGGATGTTAATTAGTGAAGAGTGTTCGAAATGCTAAGAAAACGTTAGCAAATCGTGAGAAATGTTCGTATTTGTCAACTTTAGATGTCTCAGGAGTAGAATTGCATTGCAAGTTGCAAGGAAAGTTGCATAATGTAACACCGCCTTTTCTGTTATTCATTTAGAAATATAGTGAACTAAAATAGTAATAAATATTCTGACAGGACAGGATATTTTAAGTTTTACATTACCGACTGTAATACACCTTTAAATACTTCTACTGTTAATTAACAAAAAAACGCGCATACCGATAAACGGTGGACAATGTGTTAGTAGTCCTGGCTTGTATCGGAAATTGTATTCCTGAAAAGCATGAAAAATTTTAATAGTCGTCCTCAACTTGATAACTGAAATTGCAAAAAGAGGCAAAGGGAACATAATATCTTCAATATATCAACAACAGATCTAAAATAGTTTTCTGAATATTCTATAAAGTTTTCTTGGCAGGTTTTTCAGAATGCATGGACAAACAAAACTTCAGTTCCATTGTAAAGGTTTTGTTAACTGATAAATTAGTCAAAAACATACAGCTATATAGTATACACTCTGTATGTACCTTCCATGGACCATCAAGAGAATCACTTCCCTCAATTACAATCTCAGGTCTTCCTCCAACACCTGTCATTCTGAAAAATGTATTAAAATGAAAAAGGAAAAATTGAGAGCATGATATATAATACAAAAAAGTCACGGAAAAGATGTTAACGAGGTTTAAAGCCTGCTTCAGAGGGTTCAATTTTAAAAAAACGAATGTCTTTTATTTTCATTTGCTCGAAGCACAGAAATGCCTCAGCTGAAGTCTATATATCTTTGCTTCTCCACATTGTGCAGAATAATTTTCGTAAAAGCTTAAAATAATACCTTCTAAATAATCCATAGGAATTGGCGATTTCCAAATGTTGAACTTGGTCATGCCATTTCCTTACAACAGGCCAAATATTCTGTTGTGTGGTTCTATCAAGATTTGAATACGGAACCTAAAACATAATAAGTGCATTGAAAATTCATACTGGAATGAAAGTTTAAAATCATCCAAGCTTTTTCACTATTTTCTGAAAGGAGATCTTAAGCCAGTTTTACGCATGAAACCAGGGCCGTAACTAGAACGATTCAGTTCTGCCCGACGGGTTTCTTTTGTAAGTGGAATAGCTTACAATAGAAATCCATCGGGCAAAACTGATATATGAATAAACACCCCCCCCCCCCCCCAATTATCGTTCTAGTTACGGCCCTGCATGTAACGAATCATAGCGCAAAAATATTTCCCATATGACATAGCTATAAGGGATGACTTTTAAACATAGAATTACGCTACCTTTCGCTACGATAATACATACATTTTGAAATCTAAAAAGTCTCTACCATACTAAATGACGCGAATAAGAAACAATAAACTTTCAGCCTACTGCAGAATATTTTTCCCGCTCTTTTTCCGAAAAAAGATCGAAACACAATAAATAATTACCAAGCTGATAGAGAATACCCAGATGGCTGCAACAGCTACTAACGAGCATTGAAAAGATGAGTAAATCTTTGCAGATAAACCAGCTTGCTGTAACGACCTAGTAATGCAATAAACAAAAACGATTACATACCGTTTTGCAACGATTACATAGAAAGTACATTTTCTGAGAAATCATATTTTTTGGACGACATACAAACGTTTTACAAGGAGGATATTATGTTTTGTGTCCAAAGGTAGGAATAATGGTTTATTTGACATGATCTTTTATTTATATACAGCGTGCACGGATGGAATATTAGTCCCAATTATTACCCATCAGAATCGAAGGCGATTTTTCCAAATACTTTACTGTACTCTCTGAAATGCGTTCATATGCATTTTACACCCTGGGCAATGGTAAGCCTGGGAGCTTTAGTTTTACTCTCATTTTACTTTAACTATGAAATACTATAAAACAAACAAGATCAATCCGATCTATCCAATTTAAAAATCCTTAGCCAATCCTAGCTGTATCTATCTGTATACTACCTTACAATATTGACTTATGTCAACTAAGGTGCTCACAGTCTTGTTTACACAAATGCACGCTACTCACTTGCAAAAATTACCTGAATAAACTACGGACTATTTCAAACGAAAGAGATATTGCGCCAAGCCAAATAGATAAGGGAACAATCTTACTTAGGGCATAATTAAATTGTGGATGAGAGAAATCTAAAAATAAATGAAAGGTGCATGTATAAGACAGGTAAAAGTTAAGGCGATTCTCCATTACCGTCCGCTTCACCGGGCGGGGCGAACGTAATGGAGAATCGCCTTTATAAAGAACAAAATAAGGTTAGGGGACTTTGATTAAAGCAGATTCTAGTGCTGCTGTATTTTGTAAATCGATCTTTTACAAAGATCAAATTTGTGAACTTATTATCTGTAAAGGTTTAAAAATTATATTTTTTATTCGTTACTATTGGCTGACTTTTCAAATACAAATCGATGACCAATCAATAATAATTAATAATCAATCATTAATAATCCTGACCTACTTTGGTGTAAATGACATCCTTGCCGTTAATTTTCATCGCGAATAAACGTTTAGTCCAATACAACAACACAAACATGACAAGAAATACTGTGCATCTCCTGATATACCAGACAATAGTCTGGATATGATGAGATCTCTCTGTTACTTCATGACGAGACTTGTCTGTCGCTTCTTCATGATTTTGTTCTCCTACAGAATAAAGCAAAACAACATAAAATTCTCAACGGTTGTAACAAATATGGTTTAAAAGCTCCTTGCATGGGCAAAAAATATTCTTGTCGTTCGACCTCATGCAGGGACCTGGTCTAGGGAATCATGACTAATATGATAGGGCTATAAGTTTCATGACTAGGTGTAATGTAAGGAAAGTACTTTCTCATACAATAAAAAACCCACTCCGAAAAATGTCATCTTATAATTATAAAGGCAAAGGCACTTAGAGTTTAATATAAACAACAAAACAAGAATTTTATGGTGATATTTCGAAAAATTCTTGTCTGGTTGTCTCTAGCTCATATCCTGAGCTTACAAGATGTCATTTTTCGGAGTAGGTTTTTTTCTTGTATTTTATCAAATTATCTGCTGGTAATGGTTTTTGTACTACCTCATGCTAACATTTTTTTGTCTAGGAAAGCAGTTTTTATATACCCTATTCGCTGATAACTTACTGGGGCCGGTTGTTCGAAAGGCGTTTAGCTTAAACGGTGGATAAGTTCAAAATGGAAAACAAAATTATATATTTGTTGAACACCTTAGCTGAAATATTTCGATGTAAATTGTTTAATTTTCACTGGTAGCACATATTTAATGTATAAGATGCAAGTTTAGTCACTCATAAGATCTATAAGAGTATTTTTAAATTTAGCTTATCCACCGTTTAAGCTAAACGCCTTTCGAACAACCGGCCCCTGGAAGATGCTGTCATGCAGGGCCGCAGCTAGGAGTTTAATTGGGAGGGAAGGGGGGGGGATGCATACTCATATACTCGTCTTATACCCGACTAACTCCTTTTGTACGCAGGATTATTCCAATGATATGTAAACATGGATAGATGAATATACACTCCCCAATTAAAGGTATTTTAAAAAACATTACAATACATTCTGTTAATACAAAGATTGATCAAAGTTATATAGCAACTGGCGATTTTAAAGCGATTGAAAAAACCACTATCCGGTGGATAGCTCTATCCGGCTTTCATATACAACAGCCCCAAAACTCTAAAATATAGACATTTGATCCTAACAATAATCTTCAGACGTATTTCAAGGACACTAAATTAGAAAGACTCGAAAAACTTACCAGAAAAAGGTAAATGGTCGTCGTCGAGAAGGGAAAAACACAGGACAATAGTCAGCAAGTTGAAAAAGTTGTAATTTCCGGTAGCGATAATCAGCAGCTGGAAAATTACCTGTATAGAAAGAAATATATTTATGGAAATATGTGGCGTCATAATTTTAACAGGCCATCGTAACAGATCGCAGCACATAAAACGCTGGGGTCGTTTGTATGAAAGCCGGATAGCGGATAGTGATCTTTTTCAACCGTTCTCGAAAAGCGATAAAATTCATCTTTGGAAACAATAATTATTAAAGAGGAGCCTCAATTTAAAAATACAAAGATTTAATTAAAGTTATATTAAACAACAGGCGATTTATAGTGGGATTGAAAAAAAAAACACTATCCAGTGCCAGTGGATAGCGCTATCCGGCTTTCATATACAACCGGCCCCTGAACTTTAGATATTAAAAGAGGCTTTTATACGTATAATAGCTGAAAGAAAAGCCGTCAGGCTATTAAATGAAGGAAATCATTATGGAAGAATTAATTTAGGAACAAGCGCTGAATCACAAGCGTGGATCTGAGGGCTTCATGCAGCTCGCAAATACAGCGGGATAAGTATATTTAACAAATGACGAGCTCGAGTCGTATATAAGCTGATAGTCTACGAGGTGCGTATAATTCCTATTCATTATGGATGTTGAAATGGCAACCAAAAATGCTTTTCAGTTTCATGCATATCCTCAATAATCCAAAATGGCGGTCAAGTCATTTCTTTTCATCGAAATATTTTTTTAGAAAAACAAAAGAAACTGTGAAATGCCTGTAACAATTTTTTCCCTTTGTTTCCTTGACATGGGACAGTAAAAGATTGTTGCCATATTCATTGTGCTTAAATATAGGGACAGGAGGATGTTGGCGACAATTGTTCGAATGATGTTTTTAGAAATAAGATTTTTTGTGCAAGTCCTGAGACAGCGACGGAATCTAAGGATTACCTCACGGTGATACCTCGTCCGACGTTACCACGACAAGTGTCGAATATAAAAGAGTGTCTCTGCATCAGTAGACTGATTTGCATACCCAAAACAATTACGACGAAACCGTTGACACAAAGCATTAAGCAATTGAGGTTTCCTATGCCTCTGGAATACTATTCAAAATGCCTAGGAAACTAAAATATTTTTGGGTACACCGTGTGAAAATATATACGAGGACCACCTGGCTGTTTCTAAATTATAAGGAAAGCGCCCTTAAACGATTCCACGTATATGAACAGCATTGTCCGTGTTTACAGTCCAGCATGGACCTGTTTAAAGCAAGCTAAGGGGCTGTTTATATAAACAGGTGGGCTGGCCCGCTCGAAAGAGGCGAGATCTCGCTGAGCGGGATGAAAATATTTTCATACTAACACTCCAAGCGCGGGCTGGCCCGGTTGCCGAGGTAGAACCAATTTTAATTATTTATTTTTTTATGTTTCTCAACGTTTACTTTTATAGTTTTGAACTCTACAGGAAGACAACAGCGTGGCATAAAAACGTTATGTCACTGATATAGTTTTCTGTCCTAGTGTAGAAATTCAAGATGGCGGTCTCTGATTAAGTTTCTGCTTAAAATTAGTATCGTGAGATGAATTTGAGGTATTGAAATGAGCAGATAACATGATCCTGGCATTCGTATAATCACCACAACAATAGCATGCGCATGTGCTTATTTGGTGTCATAAAGTCCTCTCACGCTTCGTTGAATCGCAGATAACAGTCTAAAAATAACCCATCTTATCTTTTAATGGCCACACGATAACTGCTTGAATAGTCAAATCTCGCAGAAATATTCCCGTGCAGTACCACCCTTTCCGTTTAAGAAATCTTTAAAGTTAGGCAAGCAAGCGTTATGTCCTTTTATCTTACACTGCATCGTTTCTCTTCCTCCGTACATTGAATGTCCGAGGAATTTATCTTCTCCATAGGTATCAATTAAATATCTAAACAACGCTCTACTATAATTAATCCATCTGCCATTAGTCTTGATCTTCATAAGTTCAGGAGTTGGACCCGAGCGCGGAAATATCGTCGCAATCCCACCCGAAAGATCACCGACATTCTTTGGCGTGCAGAAAACCTGCACTTGCTCCTCTGGGTTTGATATCAAACGGACGACATATCCTTTTTGATCTTTAAGTGGCTCAAACAAGTCGTATATTTGTTGTACAGTTAATCCAAATACCAGTACGTCGACGTCTCCTGAATCCCATGGTAGTACAGAATGCATTTTAATCGCACCAATGCTAACACCACCATCAATCAAGTAACTGACGTTATGTCGTTTCAAGTGGTCGGTAACTTCGAATAATGTTGTCACGAGATATTGATATAAATAAGGATACGCATAAAGACCTTTAAATGCCCAGTGCCCACCACCTAGCAAGAGCTCGTGCGAGTTTCGTTCAATGCACAAACCTTTGCCGCTCAAGGAACTTGATGGGCTGCAAAGTTCGATTAATTTCCCCTCAATATCTTTAAAAATTAACACCTTGTGTTTGACTGCAAACGAAACGAGTTCCTCAGCTACCGCACGTGAAGTCCATAGTTGGTGCAAGCTTTTGTAGTGACTATTTAAGAACATCATGCTGGGTCTTGTTCCGGTTGCAAGATTATGACCTTTAGCACGGTAAAAGAAATCCTTCAGGGCTGTGATATCGCTCATTTTCGGGTCAAATACCAAAGAAATATTTTGTATACTGCTTGTTCTTGCCATAAACGAGGATGATATCCCATCACAAATCATAATATTGTCCAAAAAACGAACATACTCATAACTTTCGGAGAAGGTCCACCGACATAGTCTATAGCGGCTGCACTGCACGTGTAGTTTGTTGCCAGCAAGATACGAACCGCCTATAACATCTAGACCGGGGTATACTTCCAAAGCATTCCATAAAGAAGCGACGTCCTCTTGCGCACGGTCTGAAGGCATCACTTTCGGCTCCAAGAATAGAAAGTACTTTGTATTCACTTTCTTGATTATGTTATTTAAGCTCGTGGCAAGATTTTTGTCCATATGATCGTTCCAAAAGAAAGCAGATTTTGGGAACATACTCTGAAGTTGTTTTACTCGTCTGCTTGATGGCAGTACTCCCCCTTCGTTGTAGATGATTATAGACAGATTCTCGGACGCAAAGGCAACTCGATCTGACTCTGTCGATTTCCTATCCAGCGCACTTGAATCTTTTAAAGTTTGATGTACTTTCTGCGGTGCTTTTACCTTGTTTACTACAGTATTACTTGCAATGATATCTTCCTTATCGTTCATAACTTGCTTGCTTTTTTCCACATCTGCCAATGCTCCACGCTTCATGTTAGAATATTCCAAGGTTTTTATTTTTACTCGTAACACGGAATTTTCGTAGTACAAGTAAAACAAGACAATAAGGAGAAGCATGGTAAGAAATTTCGATCGAGTAATTCGCGGACAGCGCAAGACTGCCATGGCGAGCTGAGGATTCGCCGGAGTCGTCGTGCGACTATACTAACCGTCTTGTACAAGTTGAAGTTCCCTGGCGAATGTACATGAAGTCGAAGGCGAATTACTTTAATCAGAGTATAATAATTACATTGTGCACAGAATCAAAAACAATACAATGATTCCAAGTGTTAAAATTTGTTTTTAATTTAAATGCACAAAAGTTAATAACCAAGGTGAAGCTGGCACAACATTCAACACCAGTATACCACAGTAGCCCAAACGTACTCGTGACCAGTTTTATATTGCGGTCTGTGTCTCTGTGACACTACTTCTACAAATAATTGAAAGGGTAACTGCAGAGTGTCATATTTTTTTTAAAAAATCTACTTATTATTAGCATGAAAATCCTGACAATTTAGTTATGCATACATGCAATGTTGTTATCATTATTCATTTCTTTCGAAATTCATTGTTTTCACATTCAATGCACAATAAATTTTTGCATAGCGAGTAGGATTTCAAGTTTTGAAAACCTTTTTCAAAAATACATAAAAAAGGAAAATAAGGTACAGGGTGTACTATTCATACAAACTATTCCTATATGTTCGCTATTCAATAACAAGAGATAATAACCCCTTGGGAATTACTATTTGCTTGTAAATATTATATACCTGTTTCGGTACATTATATAGTCATACATATGTCAACATGTATCTGAGTCATAATATATCGACTCACATGTAGTTTGGAATAATTATTTCATTGTTGGCGTCCTTTCACATTTATATTTTATATAGAGTGATACCCGAAACCTTGTAATAAATTAATATTTCAACCAGAGAACGTTTCTCAATAATTACACATTTAAATAAGTGCCGTCGCGTCTCAAAATATGTCGCTATCTGTTTACTAAAGAATATTATGTAAATAATGCGATCCACGTTCCTTAAATGCGATTTCGTATTATTTTACAAGGATTCGAAAAATGTGTTAGGCTCTGCTCTTATATGTCAGTGATATATGTGCCGATATAATAATAAGGAAACACGTGCAAATATAGACAAATTAGTTCGGCACACGTTTAGAAGAACATCAAAAGACCGCTTCGAACTTAGTTTAAAATCCGCATTGGCGGAACACGTATGTCAAACCAACCATAACATTGCGTGCAATGATTCAAAAGTTATTACCACTAATGATCGTTATGGACAAAGGCGTTGTTTGGAAGCCTGGCATATTAATCCAAGTCTTTGTGCACTAAATAGGGATGACGGAAGTTTTGCCAAAAGAATATTTACATCTGATTGATAGATGACATCATTTTGAGAATATAAGGAACCGAGTCTCAACATCAGATCACCCCTGATGAAGACACTCATTTGTAACCTGGACTGGTCTCGTATGTAACCTGGACTTCACTCACAATAATACTTATAATAGAACAACAAAGCCTGGAGCCAAATATATTTTTTGACAGTATTCAACTTTAGGATATTAACTTTGACTTTTACTATTGGTCATTAGGTACGTAAATATAACTATTTTATTAAATGTATGTAGACCGGCACTAAGACACACAACTGCTCTAGGCTTCAACACTGGCCGCTGGCACTGCAGGGTTCATCCTACGATCCCCCGCCACATTTTTAAGGATTTACTTCCGTATTCAAAAAAATCCTTTATGTTGCTGGTTTTGTATGTAAGCTAGATATAAAGGTTGATATAGAAATATAGTAACACAATGATTTCAATTGCTGATGCATACAGTCTCTGTGATGCAGTAGAAAATTAAATTTAACAGGACAACACACATTAAACTGTGTCACACAGTTTGTCCATAGAATTATATATTAATACACAATATTTGTTTGCTGTTTGGCGTTTGCCGTAAGCGCCAATCTTAAAGTCTCTAGTATAGAGATCGGTGACCAAGGAAAGCGTGAGCGTGCTGGGCCAAGCAATTATAAGGCCGATGGTACGAATAGATAAACTTGATTACCATTGGTAATACATACACCATTCGTACGAATGGACTACTGAGGGCTACCTTAGCCGGGTCGCCCTTAATCAAGCCTTATTCAAGATTCACCAATGGTCTACTGTCACACCAATGGTGTACAAACAATCTCTATATATACGAATGAAGACTTGCCTGACCAATTAACTAGTCCGTATAAAAAACCTGTAAAACTAACGGTTGGTGCAGAAAAAAGCTGCACGTACGTATATAATCATGGATCCTTTGCCATGCATTCTTTTTTAATTATAGTTCTTCAGATCGAACGCATTAAAATGACAGAAAGCAGCTATACGTAGTCAAAATAATAGGATGCTTTGCTACATCAAATTACTTATTACTCATCCCATGATTTTTTTTTTGGGGGGGGGGTTGTACTCTGTTGTCTTTAGAACTGTCTAAATTGTACATTTTATTTTTTTGTTATGATTCTGAGTATTTTTATGGCAGAATGTGTAAAAAAAACAGGATGATGTACCTGAAGGTAGAAAGCAAAATACGGAGCGATCGTACTGGTGCAAAGAACAAAAACGGAATTGGACCTTCTATCACGAATCTAGAAAATAATACAGAAGAAAATATCTTACATGTTTACCGCACGCAAAATTTCCACCAGAGTAAATGAAAAAAAATCAACTAAATACTGCAGAAAGGGTTTCTATATTGACAACCGTTATGAGCACTGAAGTCGCTACATGAAGCATGTTCTAAAATACGATTGGTACTTCACTCGATTCACGTAAATTCTAGGTTTAAAGAGGTTTAATTTCGAGTGGAATTATACACACTTTAAATTCAAGGAAGGAACAGTTGAAGGAAAAATGAGACAACTAGATTGATGTAGGTCCCAAGAATGTACGTGCATCGAGTGAAGTGCCAAAAATCACAATTGATTTACCCATACAAATTATTTGAATAGATAAGCAAATCAGTTACAAACACTAGTGGTTGTATCGGAAAAATACAACCAATAGTGTTTGTAACGGATTTGTGTATGTACTCAAATCTTATTCATTACAAATTCATTTCACAAGTTGTTTACAACACTCGCCGCCGTGTTGTATTGAGTATGCAATCACAATATTGTAAAAAACATTACTTACGTCATTGCAACACTGAATTTCTGAAACCAATTTGGAAGCTGGTGGGCAAACCATGCCAATGGTGTCGGAATACACTAGAAACAAAACATGAGTTAAGTTAACAAAGTAAGTTAATCATACTGTACATTCCCGTTAAACTACACTCAATTGGTCGCCACGGCCCACAGCCGTCGGCAAAAATGGGTACCCGTACCAATTTCATTCGTGCTCGGCCTGTGTACTGGTAGGCAAATAAATTGAGTGTAGTGTAAATGGGTAAGAATCCAAAAGATATTGTGAGGGAGGAAACAAAATTGAAGATTTTTGCAAGTGTTTGTGCTAAAGACATTCCAGTGTTGTAACACCATACGATAGTGCTTGAGAATGTCATATCAAAAGTAAAAAAATTGACAGTTAGATATATAAGAGGCATTTTTTGTAATACAAGTCAAAATCATAAAATAAAAAAAGTCTCTCTTCATGCCGTTACAATCATATAAATAAATGTTTCACAAAAGCCTATATAGTTTTATCTAAGTTAATATGTACCCTCCCTTTCAAAGGTAAAATCATATTTCCCGCCATTTTACCTACGAAATTTCCACGTGGAGGCCTGGATCATACCTACAAGAAAGGCTTCATGCTCCGCCATCTTGGCTTCAAACTCCTGACAGAGGGAGCGCTTTAGTCTTATTTGAGTTCACTGGGTGAATGAAACAAATTCTAAAATGGCAGCTAGCCGTGTTGTGAACGTTTCTTACAAAGAGAAAAGCGAACAAATGCAGTTCTTGTGTTAATTTACTCGTGCAAAAATACCTAAACAATTATTCGCCTTAGGCTCAACTTCGTCTCGGTGAATATTCCCCGATAATCACCTCGCCTCCGGCGTAAATTGTTAAATAATCACGTTGGTCATATTCGGCAAATTTTCTCCCGGTAAAGAGGGCTCAGTTTTCCAGCGGTCTTCGCATGAAAAATTAAAAGCTTTTTGTTTTACGCCTTGCTCTCAATTTTGTGTAAGTTGTCCGCTGACAATATGAGCCTGCACGAGTGGGAGAAACTTAGCTAAGTTGGACCTGCGTGAATGAATAAATCACATGCATGTTAGAGGTCATCTGATGCGAGGTTCCGTAATGTTCACCGCAAGTGACATTATACTTTAAATAACGATACTTACAAACACATTTAAAGATAGCAAACGTACTTGTGATTCGTAATGCCAGTCCAACGCTGTCAACCCCCACCACGTTGGGCATCCGCTGGTCAGTTTGACGACACCAGAAGCAAACATTAACCGAAATAACAACCATTTTACCAACCACAATGATATTGAATCATGAGAGGACTGGACAGAACCCTAGGGGGAAAGGTTAGAAAAAGGTTAGAGGAATGCGGTAGAGGAAAGGGTTAAAGGAAAAGATTGGAGGAAAGATTGGCTTATTATGGTTATTTATAATTTTTATAATTTCTAATCACTGCAGTACTTTCGTCATGAATCATATGAATGTTATCATTGCGATAGATTGGTGAACGACAAGCGGCAAAGTCTAGTTATAATGTTGTGGTCAGGTGTCAATTAGGACGCAAGTCCTGTTTCTCTTCTCCGTCACACTTATGCCCTCTTTTATTGTACATGTATATGCGTAAAAATTGTATTGTGTTGTGAAAAATGATTAAAGGATTAGAGGAAAGGATTAGAGGAAAGGATTAGAAGAAAGCGTTAAACGAAAGGGTTAAAGTAAAAGGATTAGAGGAAGGATTTGTGGAAAGAATTATACGTGGTTACTAACAGTACAAGAAGTTACAACTAATACTGTTTTTTTACAGTTTAGTAGAAAGCAAGAGTGAAATAGCGCGCTTTTATTAGCGCGTAGCTTGTTTTTACTGTGAAAACAATCAATTTCAAAATATAAAATTATGACTTCAAATTAATGTATTAAAATATTACTGCAAAGCGGGAATAAATCGTCAGATTGGCTGCGCCAATGATTATACAAACCTTGCCTTCCTCTTAGGTGCTACCAAGAGACATAAGAACCCAGCTTCAAGTAACAGAATATCCCTGAAATGGAAATTAAAATGCAACGTTTCCATTTATTCCCCAAGCAATAGCAGTACTAAAAGAGCAGTATCGTAGTTTAACCGAAGGACAAATTCGAGAGTGGGGAGCAGATCAAGTATTTGTCTATGCCAAAGGCTGAGGCCTTAATTTTTTCCCGTAGCCGGATACAAGTGAATCCAACCAATTTTTTAGTCGTTTAGGGCCTTTTAATTCAACCTGTCTAGCTGTGACCGGGTACGCACAAATAATCTTATTTAAATTATACTCCCGACGAACTCAAAATTTGCAGGTGAGTGGTTAACACTTGTATCTTACGAGAGCAGGGCCTGAGACATCAAATCAGCGAACACCAGTAGCTGTTTTATCATTCGCTGATCAGGGTAATATTTTCTGTAGTTTTTGCTTTCAGCTAAAACGGAGTTCTGTAAGGATTTGAGTTTTTAGTTAAAAAATTGTCTTAGTAGATTTTTGTTTGAAAATATTGCCAAAAGATATCGACTGAAGGTGGTATTTCCTTGGTGTTCTTGTCGACTAGTTTCTTAAGTATTGCCTTAATAAAACGTCGCGCGTTAAAAAAAGTCCCGAGAAACGGCGGTGTGTTTTCGGTAGAAAATTGACGTCAATGGCAATGCGCATACTCAGAATATCATTTGCAGCTGAAAAACATTTTTATTACTATACAATAACTATTGTTTACGCTCAGTTATATGCGGGTGAATCAACGTTTCGAAATTGAAATACTATAAATGAGAATACGTATTATCAGAAGTGTAACTAGAGATTATTTTTTGTCCTCAAATTTTTCCCAAATGTAAATATCAAGCCACGACACTTTCTGAACTGATGGCTGCCTGTGAACTTTTTACTATTTCTGCCGTTTGTTGGCTTTTAATTGATATAAATCAATAAATTTATTTTGAAATGAATTTTTATCTCCGCAAATGCCAAAACATTTGTGAAATAGGTCACACGGCAGAGAGCATGAAATGCAAAGACGTAATGACAAATGACGAATATCACGCAATAAACACTTGCTAGCAAGATGGCTGCCATGGGGCATTTTTACCACTGAGATGGTAATCTGTCCATCTTTTATAGATGACATTACTACATGTATAATTGTAGCTATATGCTTACCATTGAAACCACAAAAAAGTTTGACCAACCTATAAAATAAACAAGCGTGTGAGATGCCACTACAATGCCACTACAACGTAGCTATAAAGTTTAAACTCCAATTGATCGATTTAATCAGTGCATTAATCCTTTTAATAAATGTTTGAAAAAGTTTCAAACATTATTTGATTTTGGAACGTTAATGGAAATAAGTCTTATGGTGATCTTGAATATCGTGTTGAATGCGTGTTGATTATCGTGTTGAATGTTGTGTTGAATGTGGTGCGTACTTCACAGTAGTATTTAATTTACATGCTTCCGCATGCCTTTGCATTAGCGTTGTGTTGCGAAATCGCGTCCGGCCTGTGTGGGTTATCTGTTCACGCGAATAAATTCGCCTATATAGCTAGCTGCTGGAAAACGGGCTTATGTTGCGAAATCGCTGTGTTCAGAGGCGAATTTTGTTTGTTAAGGAAATTACGCAGTTTTTCTTCTTTGTTACATCATAGATCAACTGTACATAATCTCATGCGTTGCATGAAACAAAAGCAAAATGTCGCTTAATAAATCGCGCAAAGATTATCGCTCTTTAAAAGGGATTAACGCGTTATCAGTGTTTAACTAAATAACACCAAAGTAACCCCTGGCGAACGATATTTGCCAGAACGATGATTGGGGAGGGGGGTTATATGCACATATTCATGTCATTTTTTCAAATAATTTCTCTTTACAGTCTGTTAATTAACATCAATATATGAATATGGGCCTCAAAATTATCAATGCTGACTACGCCACTGAAAGTAACTATGATATATTTTAACTATAACTCTCTACTGCGGTATATTTAAATATTATTATCATACACTGTTGGGCCAGAAGATTAATACATTGCACATATTGATATACATACTTGATACAGTGAAAAATACAGAAACCACATGGTTAAGAAAAGGACGAGATGAAACTCCGCCAAGCCCTGCCTGAGATACCAGTATACCAAGACATTACCAATGATACAAAGAAACTCTTCCTGTCTCAGTGGTTAGACCAAGATCACGAACAACCACATTAGCGTTGGCTTCTGAAACATCTTGTAGCTTGAAGATTTGGCCTCTGTCGTAGAAGAAATTATTTCAGTTAATTTGTAACAATTTGAAGTCCTAATTCTCATTCACATTATGTAATAGTCAGTGCACCTATTTTGTACATACCACCGGTATGACATTGTGGTGTAAAAATCAAAGTACACAAAAAAATACAACAATTAACTATTAATTATTTTCAAACATGTTGATTTGTGACATCATGTGTATATACAGATTAACGATATTACATTATACAATTTACAATTTATGTGTACTGTGCATGCAAGGTTCAGGTTGGGAGGGCCATGTTGTTGTCATGGAAAAAGTTATACTTAACTAAAATCAACTGACATCTTTTTAATGAATACCTCTTCTCAAAATGTTTTTAGCAGGTAGTAGACCAGATTCACCATAAAGACCTAAAGAAAACATGGATATGATATCTGATGCACTGATCTCTCAGGCCATAGTGGAGATCTAGACACTTTATTCTGCAATTAACCCAGGCCATCAGGCTAAAAAGTGTTAAAAATGATATGGTGAGGAGGGGATTACAGAAGCCTCAAATGGTTCTCTGCCAAATGAAAAATGAAGGTCCAAGACGATCTCTTGTTGTGAGATTAGAAAAATTCCTTTGGATTGGGGAATATGGCTAGAATTTCAAGACGATTTCATTATGCCTCGCAGGGGGGAGGGGTGATATTTATTAACATAGAATGGTCCATGGTTTCATTTTGGTGATCAGAAGATAATCAATAACACAGTCTAGGCATTAGACTGAGTGATCCATAGCACGAAATTTCATGTAAGCAAATCAAAAAAGCACATACCTGGTATTTGAACATAGAGAGATCCGAATGCAAACAAATATACGGCAGCCATACTCCACAAAAATACATCTTTCACTAGACGTTGTTGATTCGACATATCTTACTATTTTTAAAAAGCTTTGTACGCAACGACAGCAATTGGATGGCAAAAAAACTGTTAAAATATTTAATAAAATAATCTAAATAAAATTACATAAACCTCGAATTTGAACATTATTGTACTGGTAGTGGTTGGTCGCCTATAAAATTAATCAATCAATGGAACAGTGAATGGAACCAACACAATACATGAGCCTGCATTGTGGTGAAAACTTTATGTAAGTACACATCATGTGAACCTACATATTTTTGGTTTTACGAATGTCACACTCACACACTAGCATCAACCTTGCATTAAAAGACGAGAATGACCTCGATAATGACTGCATTGAAGACGTTGTTTTATCAGAAGTTCATGTTTATAAGACATTCACTCCCATAGAGGAAGGAAACTACGGTATGGTATACACTATACAGTGTATATGTTAGTGGTTGAAATCACTGATGGATAAAGTTGATACTGCATACAGTACTGTATGTCGTCTTATATACCAATTTAATACCACCTCCATTTGTATAATAGGTCAATAGGTAAAAGGACAACAACGTTAATCGTGCACAAATGCATCACGATCCAAGAAAAACGTTGCATCGTTGTAAATTTTATAGGAGATGCAAATCTTTCTAGTGTCCCCCAGAAAATCTGTCCCTGAGTCTTGATCATTAGTTTTGATGTACGACTGTTATGGTTATATGGTACTGCTAAGTATTATAAATAAATCAACATCGAACAATCTAAGGTATTTGAAGGCCTCTTCTTTATGAACACCTTTAACATTTATGTGCATTTTTTAGCACTGTCAAGATTTCATTTCACTACTCCACATGGTAGTCCACTATGCAATGCTCAAAAACCTTATACGTCAGATAAACAAATATTGAAGCATAAAGAGAATGAAGGACTGGTCAATTATGATGAAGATGGTGACATGATTATTCCAAGATTTGAAAATGATGTTGAGCGAAATATTATAACTATCGGTATGTTAGTGCAACATAGAAAAACTTAGCTGTAAGGGTGTGAATACAAAATGCAAGTCAAAAATATTGACTATATAATTCCAGCCTTGTGCCCAGGCACTTTAGAGGAAAAACATATAACATTGCATGAAACTATTAATTATGGCATGCAGGTGAGCTAGGAGTATCAATTAGTGCGCGGCCTGGGTGGTGCTTGGGGTACGAACAAAACCAATAGCTGAACACAACATTATATATTTTATTTTATTTTATACCATTATTTCCTATTATAATTCCCTACACACAATCCTATTTGTTACCCAATGAAAGTTGTGCCCTTTTACTCGTTTGTAATAATTAGTCACTTAAGTATCAATAAAATTGTATTATAATGGCAAATATCTTCATTGCAGAACACACCCTTGCAACTCCTATTAAAAGTGTTGGAACACAGGTACATACTAAAAGGTTATTTAATATTTTTTAAATGTCTGGCATGGTTGGTCTAGCTTATAGTTATTTACTTCAAAGTCAGTTTAATTGCTTCATTTATAATGCTTGCGAATATTGCACCAATTAGTTTTTAAGAGCAATTCTCTGCTTTTGACTGATGTAACATTAGGGACCCTTTGCAATTGACTTTACTCAGCTATTCACATATTGGTATGGCAGCTATTGAAACAAGAAAATTTGGACACACATTTTGTGGCCAAAAATGCTTGTGTAAAAAGCTAGCATACTTGAAAAATATCTTTTATTTATAATTAGTGAGTGTTATAATTTAACCAGGCTTCCAAAACTTATTCACATAAATATTACTGTCAACACAGCTGGATCCCTCAACCCCTCACTCAAGGTTGTCATTTTGAAGGAATTCATCAATTCAATTGTGGTTCCCTTATAAATTATGATTTATTATTACATAGGTTTGGCAGGGCTCAATGCTGCTTTGTGACTTTCTTATCCACAATGAAAAAGAGTAAGCAGATTGTTATAATAATTATACCGGTACATTTCTAGTCATTCTGTTCTCAAATGACAAGTTTGTTCATAATTATAATCGAATTGCCCGTAATTATAAGTTATAACAAAGTCAATAAACTGGCAAAAGTCAGTAAAAGATCAATTTACTGCATGGATGGGAGGGGGGGGGCGGTCGATGCAAGGACCTGTGATTAGTGTTATTTGTGTATCCTGATTCGTGATTTAAGAAAAAGCCATTCCGTGAATCGTGAAGACCTAAAATGCTGGATAAGGCATCTTAATTTCACCAATATTTTGCCACTACTTATAAATTTTTAGGTTCAATACTAGGCCTCAATTAAATTAATTAAAGGTCATAAAATCAAAACATTTGCTTTCCGCTTCATTTAACTAGTCGTAGATTTTTGTAGAACTTCGTACACTGTGGTCACATCTTTAAAGATTCGTAGTGTCTCCTTTAGGCCGGAGTGTTTAAAAAATCATGAAAATGAAATTATCTTCTTCCTGATTCGTGAAATCTGCAAAAAATCCTTCGTGATTTCGTGACAAGACCCCCCTGTTCCCCACCTCCATGATTCTTTGGTGTAATAATTGTTAAACACAGCTTCCCTTAATTTGACTGTTTAAATTTTCAATGAGGCAAGAGTTTTTGCATTTTGTTTAAAAATTTTATTAATCATAATGAACTAAATCTACAACTAAACATTTATTGTGAATATTGGATTTATTATACACTATTTAAGGAACTAATGGAGTACTTTTTTTAGGTTTGATGGTTGTATAGCCTTAGAATTGGGCGGTGGAGTAGGCCTGTGCAGTATTGTGATGGCTAGAGTTGCAAAAAGAGTATTTTGTACCGGTAGGAAGTTAGGAACTAGTATATGGGATTTCCTGACAGCATTGCACTGTTATATGTCATGATCTCTACACAGTAAGAGTTATCCTTCAAACGTGTATATTACCTTCTCAAGTTTACAAACTTGGCAAGATCTTGACAAATCCTAGGAAGATTTATTCTGAATAAAATCAATATTTTGTGGAGTCGTACAATATTTACATGACGATTGCAGTTTACGACCCCAATTGCTAGGGGAGTCGTAAAAATAACATGATCCAGATCTGACACACGATCTTTCCAAGTTCTTTTCTGAAAAATAATATCATGTCAAGATTTTCCCCGAGATCTTGAATCTTATGATTGGTCAAGATTTTTCCAGTGAGATCTTACCATCATTATGTCATGCAAAATCTTAGCTTATCTTGCCAGGATCTTGTAAAACCTTGGGTATATCTTGCGTAATTTTCCCATTGTCTTATAGTTTATCGAATTTTACCAAATATTTTTCGAATTTGCCATGTGTGGAATACTGCATGTTTTCAAGTATTATTGTAGCTAATTTTGGATGATCAATTATTCTCATTTGCCATGAATCTCTTTAGATATCCGCGATTCTTTGGACGTTTGCGAGTCAAACAAGCTCAGGAATCACGATATATTCAAGTATGCAACAACAGGTACATTTTGCTACAGTGTACGTAGCTACAACGTTATATATCAACTAATAATACACTGGCGGTCAAAAAGAACTGCTCAAAAGTTAAAATGCTATCAAATGAACGTAACTGTCCCTTTAACAATATATACGAGTAAATATAGGCTAGATTACATGCTAAGCTATATGAAATATTAATATTTTGTTGACCCTCCTTTGGCCTTATAATTGATGACGGCCTTACACCGGCGTGGCATACTTTCTGTTAAGGTGGTAATCTTCACGGTCAAAAGAAATTCATCCTATGGACATTCTTTACAGCAACGTATAAATCAAGGACCCTTTGCACTATCTCCCTGACATTGTCCCACTGATTTTCAATAGGGTTAAGGTCTTTTGACTGTGCAGACCAATCCAATTCTGTCACTCCCTCTTTTCATCAAACCATTGTTTAAATATCTTGGAAGTGTGGCAGGTTGCATTACATTATTGAAATATTGCTTGGAATAAGAAAATTATCCAAAATGCCTATGAAGCTCTCTCCTATATTCGCTCGTTTTTTATGAATTTGTATTTAAACAGTTACATACGATAATAGCAACATTTGAGCAGTTCTTTTTGACCGCCAGTGTATTACTGTTTCGTGATACCGAGCAATGGTACCTGCCATCCATATACCCAACAGAAGCTCTTTGTAAATTCTACTGCATGCACATTCCAAGAATTGTTTTTCTGTCATACTTTATATAATTAAGAGTGTGATCTGTCCACAAATATTCCAACCCTCCCTTTTCCTTTGTTTGGCTAATACACTTTTCTTGGGTCACGCTCTTCCCGGCCTGCCAAGAATCAGGCATTAAAATTTACTAATCCTGACCTTTTACACATTTTGTGTCCGTGTAAAAGGCAAATGTGTTCATCTAAATTTAAAATGTAATATAATTTCAGTTTGAGATTTGGAAACTGCTTTTAGAAACTATGAAATGCGCTTTATAGTGACAGTGCTCAAATCTGCATGTACACAGATAAACCGTGTGAAGTGTGACTAGATGAAGGGCCAAATTCCAGACACAGATTCTCCTGTGTGCCCATACAATTGTTAACATGCATTGTTAATACTTTTGTTACCGCAGCGATTTTGAAGAAATCATCGTATCATAATAAACATTTAGTTAAAGCAATTAAGCTATTTATTTTTTTTTACTATTTTGATATAGACAATGAAGTTATGGTTATAAGGGAATTAGATTTCTTCCATTCATCCCGTATATTAGGTACTGGTGAGATGCTTTTACATTGTATCATATCAAGGTCATGCCATAGGCAGCCATATAGATTTTTAGACTAATTTTTATAGTTTATGTTATTTTTTTTGTATATAAACTGTAGTGTTATTTTAAGATTAGTTATATTATATAATTTTTAAGATGACATGGATCATGATCATAAATGGACAAAAGAGGATAAAAATGACCTTAAACGGCTGTCTGTGATAATGGCATCAGATGGTAAGCGAAACAATGTTTTTGGGAAAACTATTTTCAGTGAGACTGGGCGAACTAATATAGGGTTGTGTATATTGATTTCAGACAAAAAGAAACATTTCTGCTTCTACAATCTGAGAGTGTTTTCAATCCCTATAGTGATATATGACGATGCCTTGACAGATGCATTTTTGGATACCGTGGATAAATTACTCGTACTCAATCCGCATTCTGCAATGTATATCTCTTTGGAAAAAAGGTAAACATGAATTTTACTCATTGTTTTCTTGTGTATGCAAGATTATATGAAATTTTTATTATTTAGATGGGTTGTCTATGCTGCTATGTATCCCTTGCTATTATCTATCCCTTGTGATATGTATTCCTTACGATATACATCCCTTGCGATATATATCCCTTGTGATATGTATCCCTTGCGAAATCTATCCTTTGCCATATCTATTCCTTGCTATATCTGTCCCTTGCAATATCTGTCCCTTGCGATATCTATCCTTGCGATATCTATCCCTTGAGATATGTATCCCTTGCGATATCTATCCTTTGCCATATCTATTCCTTGCTATATCTTTCCCTTGCAATATCTGTCCCTTGCGATATCTATCCCTTGAGATATGTATCCCTTGCGATATCTATCCCTTGCGATATCTATCCCTTGAGATATGTATCTCTTGCGATATCTATTCCTTGCAATATCTGTCCCTTGCGATATCTATCACTTGAGATATGTATCTCTTGCGATATCTATTCCTTGCGATATCTATCCCTTGCGATATCTATCCCTTGAGAATTTGAAGTGTTCTGTTTTCTTCCATATATAGAATCAATTTCACCTTGGAAGCCTTAGAAATAGTTTCACCTGCTTATGATTATTTTATGAATAAGCTGGAAGTACTGACGAAGAAGAATCCACCTTCAATAAAAATCGAGAAACTTGAAACAAACTTCCCTCAATACTTCAAGTATGAAAGAGTAAAAGAGCTGGTATGATCTTAAAGCTTATTGTGCATAGGTTAGCCTGGAGTGACAAGAATACCATTTCATTTTAACGACTTTGATATACTCGTAAGGCAAAAACATTTATTTTAAGTCTTTTCACTCACTAGCATTTTACACATATACATAAAGTACAACGTATTAATATTTTCATAGCAGTAATTTGGCACAGCGGTTGTTACTTGTACATTAAAAAACTTTCTTTTTCTAGGAACTTTGGAAAGTTTATCGGTAAAGGGGGCGGCTATTCTCCATGCCTTCAATATTCAACAAAAGTGCAAAAGTTGGATTGTGTTTGGTACCTTTACATTAAATGTCCCACTGAATTAGAGTACTGTGCCTTCCGTCCCCAGGCACACGCTACGGATCATTAGAATCACACGTACCAAGAGAATAGAAGTACCAAGATGTCATGTTTTATTATTTTTCGCACACTACTATTTACAATAGATCATGCACTAATTTTGAATGCCTTTTTAGCAGCACTTGAAAAATGCGCTGGTTTGAAAAAATTGATAAACTAAGCTGGTCATAAAGAAGGGCAGACGCCTCTTGATTGTATGCATGTGTCCGTACCTAATGCCTACTGATGCTAAGCTGTGTGATATTTGACTGAATGTAATGCACCGCAAGATAAGACTGAGAAATTTTTTACTTTTTTCACGACATGTTAATATGCTTTTCTGCAAACTTTTATGACATCGTATGTCCAGGCTTCTAAAATGTCAAAATGTATCATGTGACAAACAATATTACGCAACCATGCAGTCTAGGATAACTTCTGTATCCTTTCACAACAATATAATGAACAAGATATAAAACCGAACAACAATTAACTAAACATGGAGACTATAAACAGCATCCTGTTTTTAACACATCGTTCTTGGACACACATGGCCAATTACTAGCCACATTTATCCACAATTCGTGTCTCCTGACATATCTCACACTTAATGTCAAACACATCACCCCAAACAAAACGACAATTACATTTAACATCTTCAACCAACACCGTTGTTTTGTAAGCACGTCCACAGCACATCGTAGCACAGCCATCGTGTCCGTTAGACGAATGATTACACGCACGACCAAATGTACCAACAATGCCCATGGAATAATTTGGCTCACAGAAATTCTCAGACTTCTTAAAGAAAACAAGTTTATCTTGTATTTCCTTGCTACCATCTGTTTTTATCTTTCGCGACAATCTCACTCTTTTATAAAGTCTATTATTAGTTTTGTTCCAGAATGAGCGTATTGGATTCTGGTATAGCTTCCAAATCTCCTGACCAACCGTTTCGATCTTGGGAACAGTTCTTCTGCAGAGTTTGTAGTGACAACCCGTTAAAGTTGATTGACAGTCGCACTTTTGTTGCGTGTTTTGACGGACAATCTGTGGAATGAAAAATGATTGTTGATGAAAAATGTTTCAGAAAAAAATTTTGATACCTGTAAGGGAACTCTTTCGCTGTACAATAGACCTTTTTCCTACCGATGTCAAATGCAGAAAGTCTGATGAAGTTTGTTAATTTTTCGGAGCCGATCAAACCTCGCGTTGCATTTGCATCCGCCAATTGACGTCATAATGAAGAAGGTCTATTTCAAATATTTTTTACCAAAGCAATTGCGTTAAGTATGTAAATGTAGCGACCAAGCCTTGCTTACCCTTCTTCCAACGATATGATTATGTCGCTTTACTTTTTTTGAATGAGTATTGGCTCTTTTTGGGTCCATGAAAATCGTGGCCAAATAAGCGCCAAAGTTTATGTTGTCAGAACAACCATGAAGGATCGAGATTTCGTTGTTAATTCGTCGATTCAGTGCACCGCATCCACAGTATTTTGTTCTCTTCATCACGCACGTCTTGGCAACCTCAATCATTACACCAGCCGCAGTCAGAGCTTGTACCAATGCCGTTTCACGAGAGCCTGAAAATTAAATCGCTAAATCCAGCCGCTATACAACAGGCATTTTTGGGCAAGACATCAAAGGAATACCCCCCCCCCTCCCTAAATAATGCTTTTCATTTTCGCTAAACACTTTTATGGGGCGCACAATTTTAAAGAAAGGTTACAGCAGCTTTTGCGCATCCGTTCTTATCGTGACATTGGGGCCGGACTTCATGAATTAGAAATTGACAAATGACAATCCGCCAGAAACTTATGCTTAGTTTGTGATGGACATGAAAGAACGGACTTTACATCATCAGTTCATTTGAATTGTATTCAAAGAAATGAAAATAAGCAAATATCATCTTTCATTCATTCAGTCGTGTGAACTAGACTTACGTTTTCTTAGAATACCACCTTCATTTAGCACCTGTTTATAATTTAGAGGCGAACAGTTCCATCTGTACGAACTAAACTGTCTTCTGCATTCCTCCAGCGCTTGTTTCAAACCTCTCTCGATGACGGGGATCATTTCCGGGAAGCGACGACAAAGATTTTTTCGATATTTATTTAGCCATTTCATTTCTTTGCAGTATGTTTTTGTGTCTGATGAATGCTTGTCCTCCAAACTTGGTTTAAAACTTCCGGAAACCAAGGCATGACAAGTGATAAGCAAACTACATAATCGTGCGAAGTAAAATAATTAATATTTTGTATCTATATATATTCTTGTTTTAACAACTTTGAAAAGTTGATCGCAATTAATATTAAACTAAATAGTTCTCTACGAATTAAGAATATCCAGAATCCACATTAATTGGATTAATTTAATCCAAATCTTTGGCGTTGGGTAAGGACATAGGTCAGATTTGGCATTAAAGATTAAATTTGTGGGATTCTGGAAATTGCAGAAAAATGGTTCGCTTGAGGTAATAATTGCATATTCTCCTTTATATTTTAACTGAATAAATTAGACAGCTCAACTTCACTATTCTGATAATAAGGAGGGTTTTAGATCAGTAATTAGTGAGCTTAAGCAAGAGACGTTTTTCACAACACGTACGTTAACCGGAAGTAAAGTTATTGTTTCTCACCAATCACAATCCTTGGCCCAGTCTTTTTACGTTACTCAATGCCGTGCAATTGTCAGTCACTTGATGCAATAGACACTTCCTGAATTTGTTTTCGGGCAATGAAAACCATCCCACTATCAATGGATCACATTGCCCGCCTCGTTTCCAAACTATTTATTGTGTGCACACAAACAAATTCGGGAAGTGTATTAGACTGAAAACGCAAAGTTTTGACCACGCATTTACCCTTGCCATATCATTGAAATCCACGATGTTTCCAGTCCCACTGAACGGATTTCCCATCAAATATCATGGTTGTAATTAATAACATGTGCATGGTCGTTGCCTCGTTGACGTTGTGCAAGTTAAAATATTCTCGGTCACCGGTTACGATTAAGAATTAAATAATCTTAAAATGAATTTGTTCACTTTAAGGCGCTTTTGCACCATGCAATTTTCTTGCAATGGCAATGCAATTAAAATTTTGAGCTATTTTCGTATTGAGGGATTCAAATTTGTAATGAGTGTTCGAAATACTAAGAAAAATGTGAGCAGATCGTAAGAAATGTTCGTATTTGTCAACTTTAGATGCCTTGGGAGAAGAATTGCATTGCAAGTTGCAAGCAACGTTGCATAATATAACACTGGTGGCCTTTAGGTTAGCTTCTTTAAAGACTAAACGAAGCGCCAGAGTAATAAATGTCAGATACTTTAGTTTTTAGCCTCAAGCTAGTATTCTTTGGCTTTCTGAGCCGTTTCCAACCCTGCTTCAAAACAGAATTCGCGACCAAATCTAAACAAGTTAATATGGTACGAACATGCATGTACTATTCTAAACACTTATTCAGTTATTGTTAGTTACAGCATACCTGGCATAACAGAAGAGCACCAAAGCCACTCCAATAATAATCTTTGTAGCCATGTCGATAAATTCTATATGCTAGCAAAATGTTGTGGTATTTTAGCGGTATGTGTACTTTAAACCTCACCTCACGTCGGTCAGAATAAAATAGTTCAATGTCGGTGTCGGTGTACTGTTCTTTCAAAGAATATCCTATACTATATGAGATACATACAAGTTAGCGATTCAAATCTGAACCGTCAAATTTTACAAAGATTCAAAACCCTGAGTTTTATTTATTTTGAGGCATGTCCTCCTAGGATGTCCTGCAAATGGCCTCTCAAAAAACCGCCTTTAGAGTTTACAGGGTGTATCAAAAAAAACGCAACTCGATAATTTGAATAAATTTAAAGTGGCATTGTATTTAACCTCCCTCTTGTCTAAAATTAATTAAACGTGACCATTAAAGCAGGCACATCGAGTTTATCAGTACAAGAGACTGTTTTATTGCATGATACGATAGACAATCAATCCATGCTGCCGCGCTCTTCAACATATCCCTCAATTCGTTCAACACAATGGATGACTCGTGTTTGCATATAATATGGTGAACTGCATTGAATTTGCAGCATGTAATTTGACAGTTACACACGACTCACCTGTGCATTAATCATCCAACAGAAGCTTCATTTCAATAGGGGGTACTTTTTTATACACCCTGTTATACCTATCTTATCAATTAATTTTGCTATTCTAATAACAATGCATTTTTATTGGTTTTCCTCATTCCAGTTGAATAACTTTATTCACAAAATGCTTGTTCATGGCATGAATATAGGCATGTAACAGAGCTAGTAAAAACGGATTCCTTTCAGATTTGAATATGCCCCCTAGCGGCTGTAGTATAAACTTTAAATATAAATCTTTTTCGCTTTTGGATATTGAATACAACCTACGATGTTAAAATTGTAGCCCCTAGCCATTGTTGAATACGTTAAATTGGATGCTTTTGGCATTTCAAGGGAATCCAAGTCAGATAAGTTAACGCCATAATTTAACGGCAAACGTAAATGTGAAAGCCAAAACCTTTTACTAACCCTGTGTTTGTTTTTAAGGGACATATTTTTTAAGGTGGCTCCCTACAGTTTCTCGAAATTTTTAGATGCACATTTCAAACGGGGGTATTCAACATCTAAACGTTTGACTAGAAGACTAAAATTTTATGTAACTTTCTGGCATACATCTAAAGCAGAAATCTATTCAGAACCTGTGCTTGGCAGTCGTTGCTACAGCAACAGAGACGTTTCAAAATGGCCGCTAAAAAGCATTTAATCGAGTTTATATCGCAAACGAGTTCGGTGACCTCCAATTTTTTTTTCAGCAAAATTTTACACTATAGATGTTTTATCGATAGTAAAGTTTGTAAAAATTTTATAATATGTTATTAGCTCAGTGTCAAAAAAAAGGAATAACATAAATAGCTTCATATTTTTCAACGTTTATGTAGATAGCTGTTTCATTTAAAATCTTAACTCGCTTAATCAGGTCGTCAGGAATGTTCTCAACCCAAACCTACCAAACTACTCTACCAAGAATAAACTGAACTGTAAAAATATATTTTAATGAGCGCTGTCGTTGAAAATGAGGTTGAAAAACGAAGCCAGAGTTTCAGAGTACTGCAGTTCAATGAGATTATTTAAGCCGGCCAACTCGGTAAAAACCCAGAAAATAAAAAGAAATTAACTCTTACCGATTTACTTAGCTCTTTGAACCTTTAAGTATCGTACGAAAATGTTTTCTTTCATTTCAAAACATTTACAAAACATTCACAACGACAACTCGATGAGGTTGTAAACATTTCAACACAGAGGATATCAGAACAGAGAGGCTCGTCTCTTCCGATTTTATTTTGGCACAGAGGAGATATGGACAGAGGTTTTTTCACACTTTTTTTTTTATCAAATTTTCGCCAGGCATATTATATCCTTGGGCTTTCTAAAAAAGATATATTTTATAGCACTTGCCTTACACTACAAAAAAAGTTTGAAACACTTTAGCCAAAGCGTTAAATTTATTTAAATTGCATTTTTACAGGAAAAAATTCCATTTTTCCTTGTTAAAAATGTGCTCGGAGCTTACCAGAAGGGGTAGCGCGTGCGAGTAAACAAGTACGATCGTACTATTGGACCAGGAACTGGTGAAGTATAGATTCAATCTTTCTCTCCAGGATGAAATTTCAAATATCTATGAACCTAGGCAATCTTTCGAACGGTTATGTTAAAATTGTCGTTTTTCTACATTTTCTCGTCTGCAAAGACACTTAAAATGTGCCGAGTTGCACATCTATGTCCTAATCTATGCCGCTGTAGCTGGCGAGAAGCTAGCGTTGCGTGCACCGTGCCACTGTCATTAGAGTCCTTTTTTATGTATGCTGGACAAAGCCTAAACTAATAAATAAAAGATAAGTAATGCCCTAGAGAGAAACGCATTTAACGCAATGGTCCTATAGTCATGAATATATATTGTGTACAAAACAAAGAAAATGCACGACTTTCTGGCTTGAACTCATAGTATGTGAATATTGATAATATTAAAATTTGCCTCCCGCCACAATCTGACATGGCTTGCAAATCTTCTCAAGAATATAAGCACAAACAATTTAACTCCGTAAGTCGATAGAGAATAACGTTTAAGATAGTTGTGTGAAGTTTTATCACGATCTGGTGCGAAATGACGGAGCCTTAGGGCCTGTTTACATGGAGCCAAGTTACCCGGGTAACCGAGTTACTCGCCTTGCCGGGACAAAACGGTACAGTGTTTATATGCAACCGAGTAACTCGGTATTTGTTACGGTACATTGTAATTACATGACGTACTTATTATGTAGGACTCAAAATTTCAAAAAGTTTTTTCAATGGTGGTAAATGAAACGTAAACGCGCATGCGTGTTTAGCGAATATTCTACTCGCCTAGCCGAGTTTCCCGTTGAAAAGTGTTTACATGGTATAACCGAGTAACTCGCCTTGCCGAGAACCCGGCACAGTTTGCCGAGAACTCGGCACGCCGAGTTACTCGGATGCGCCATATAAACAGTGAACCGAGAATCCATACAATATATAGAACAGGCGAGAACTCGGTGCTGCCGAGTAACTCGGTTAGCCGGGTAACTCGGCTCCATGTAAACAGGCCCTTAGCCATTTGAAATTGCTTCAGTTATGCATACTAATATTGAATATAATCTATACGGATTACGTTACAATTTTGAGTTGCTTCTAAATTTCTTTAAAATATAAAAATCAAAATTATAACTCCGTCAATCGATGGGGAATATCGCTAAGGATAGTTGTGCGAAGTTTAATTGCGATCTGATGCGAATTGACGGAGCCTTAGGCTTTTTTAAAGAGCGTCACCCCCTAACAACAACAACAACAACAACAACAACAACAACAACAACAACAACAACAACAACAACAACAACAACTACAACAAGATTAGCCGCGTGTGGGGACCAGGTCCTGGTCCAAAAAGTGGGGACGCGTGGAGCCGCAAGTCGAGCCTCTGTCCATATCTCCTCTGTGTTTCAATAAATTGTTTTTTAGAAACTTATCGGACCTCAAACAGTTCACTGGATGATTTTTATGTATCACATTTATCTAAAATCTTGAATCTAATATTATTATAATATATTATTATTATAAAATATGTTATTATTATGAATCGAAGGATAATATTTATAGTTTACCATTGTGTTGCAATTTTTTTAGCTTCATTCAAACTTTTAGCTGCTCTCAATTAAGGCAAAAAATATATTATACATTATTATATGACTAGAATAGTTCATCGGTCCATCAACTAAAATCAAGCATTCTGATTGGTTCCTGAGGGGTCGGTAACCAACAGTACGGATCGGCCAGGTTTCTCTTAATCGTTTTTAGTCATATAATAAATAGTTTATTGACTGAGCTTGTTCGGTCCGTACAGGAGGATACTGGTCTCGTTCTTTTTTCGCTTGATATGAGCTATTCCCCTATCTGATTGGTCGAGCTACCCACCGAATATCAGCTCGTATATGGTGGTAGCAAAACCAAAGAAAAAGCAAAATGGCTGCATGACCGAATTAATTAATTATTATTTTAATGTAAATGGCTATATTATTAAAGAATTATACCACTCGAACTCGAGCTCGTGGTATAAATGTGCAGTCATGGTCTACCCGAAAGAGTGATTTGAAACAATCCATCTTTCACGGACAATGATTATGAAAAAATGTATACGGTCAGTCTTTCGAGGATGAAAACTCAAAGTATTCATGAAAAATAAGACTTAGAATTCCTGTTTATCAGGGGCCGGTTGTTCAAAAGCAGGTTAAATTTAACCCTGGGTTAGTGCTAAACCTGGGTTAAGATCCTTAACCCTAGGTTAGCTAAACCTGGGTTAAAACTGTGTTGTTCAAAGCAGGGTTAGCAGTAGGGTTAGTTAACCCAGGGTTAAAATATTTAACCTAAGATTAAATGTATTTTAAGGACTAAATTGGATATGAGAACGTTTTCGATTGGTCAATAAACGAGCGTCAAAACTTTACCCGTCGAGGATATATTGTCAGTCGAAAGATTATATGCCGTGAGGGCAGGGTCGAAGGGACGTTGTTTTGAACATCAATTTCCGTGCATGGAATTTTGGAAAGATTCGAAATGAAAGGCCATTTTGTATGATAAACAATGTCGACGTGAAATAAAATCAAGCAAATTATAAACAATCTATTTTAAAATTTCAGGCATTCTTTGATGATTCAAAATTCAGGAACAAACGTAGCCTTACCACTTGCTGCCAATCAAAAGAATCGAATTTTGGCATCCGAAACAAATATTTCGATTACGATGTTTCAATTTGTACGGTTGTATTCATTTATCGTGTATTGCATTGAAGCGAAGATAAATAAATCAATACATCAGCTGAAACCGAACGAAGTCAAACTTAAATAATTCTTTGCTGTCGAAATTATTCGTAAAACTTTTCAAAAGTGACAAATTCATGACGAATTATACGTGTTTACGTGTTTCAGCTCCTTATTCATCCATTTTGAATCGAAGTTGACCCAGGATTAAAAAGTTAACCCACCTAGCTAGCAGGGTTAATTTTTTTATCAATTTTAACCCAGGGTTAACGCTAACCGAGCTTTGTGCAACGCAAATCAACTAAGGTTTAAAATTTAAACCTGGTTTAGGCATTTTTAACCCTGGGTTAGCGTTA